ATTGGTATTCTGAGCATGGCTTGCATGTATGTCCATCCCACTCCCAGGTCACCTCAGCCGCAGCCAAACTGACAATGGATGCAATGCAGTGCCTCCTGCGCCGTGATCATCCGTATGCCCTGGGTCCGCACCTTTGCGGATCCCGACTTCCTCTGTAAGTTCGTTCTCATCCTGGACCACAGGCTCTGCTAACCGCCGACAAGACGCCACCGTCGATATTGCCCTCTGGTCCAACATCGAGGTCGGCCTGGGTATCTCCGCCGGCAGTCTGGCCACCCTGCGCCCCCTGCTGCGCCTGATCCGCGGCTCCAGCACCACCGACGACTACATGTCGCCTATGCCCGGCCAGTCGTCCTCGCGCCGTCTCGGCCCCAGTCGTGACCGTCCCGTGCCGCTGGGATCGTTGGATACGGATGCCGGTGGTCGATTTCGCCCGGATAAACTGGTCACGACCGTGACGACCGTGCATGCGCCGGATAGTCCGTGGAGAGGGTCCAACGAGAACAGCAGCGAGGAGCGGCTGAATTCCGATCGGCCGGCGGCAGAGGGCGGCGATATGGGACTGGGCATCCACCGCACCTTTGAGGTGACGCAGACCTCCGAGGCCAAGTCGGCCAGCGTGAGGGAACATGTATAGTAATGTATGATGAAGTTCATTTGTCATTATTTAATTCTTTCTACCCATAGCATGCTATAAACATAATATGCAAGCTACAGATGCAAAAAACCATTGACCACCTCTGTAAAAGCCTGCGGCTGCTCCACCATCGGCAGATGACCCGCCTTGGGGATGATCTTCAACTCTGCACCCCCGTTGAGGTCACTCGCCATCGTCTGCATCGTCTGCGGCAGCACGCCGTCGCCCTCGCCCGCCACAAACAGACCCGGCACGCGCGCACTCGCCATCCGCTCCCGCACATCGTACGCACACAGCGCCTGCATGCCCTTGTGGAATGCCTCCAGGCTGTTGGCGCGCACCACCTCCTTGACCCGCGCTGCGACCTCCGGCTGCGTCTCGTACGTCTCGGGCACGAACCACCGCCGCGTGGTGGCCTCCGCCAGCTGCTCGCCAATAATGGGTTCCTGCGTGTCAGATGACACGGCACCTTCGCTGGCGGCCATCGCGTGCCGGTCCATCCATGCCTTGCGGTTCGATTCCGGCGCCGAGCTGTTCGTGTCGCAGGCGATGAACCGCGTCACGCGCGCGGGGTACAGCAGTGCCGTGTTCAGCACCGTTACGCCGCCGAGGCTGACGCCGATGAGTGTGGCCTGCGGGATGAGGAGCGCGTCCAGCAGCGCGATGATGTCCGATGCCAGGACATCGATGGTGATGGGCGTCTCGCCGCAGTCGCGGAGGCGGCCGCGCGTCAGGTAGCGTAGGATTCGGTAGTTTTGGTTTTCCGGGTTGGACAGGAAGGCGTCGACAAAACCGTCCCAGATGCTCCAGTCGACCAGGATGGAGTTGCTGAGGACGATGACCGGGGCGGTGGGATCGGTGCTGCCCTCGAGTCGGTACGGTAGCGACACGCCGTCCTTGGTGGTCACATATGACTCCACTGCAGGCCGCGTGGGCGACGGATACGTCCGGGTGAGGTTGTCATTGGAGTGCCACGGCCCGACGACGTCCTTGGAGGCAAGGGAGGCGAGCTCCCGCGGGGCCGGTCCAAATGTGTAGGCCCACTCGTAGACTCGGCGCTTTTTGCTGATGGCAATCTCGCTTATCCGCTTGCTCCATGGGCTGTTCTTGGCAGCATTGTGCTCGGGGCCCTCGAGGCCGTTCTTTGCCGCGTACTCGTACAGCGAAAGGAACTCCCGAGGGGCGTTGGGGTCGATGGCTGCTGTGACAAAGCGGCGAGAGCGACGCCAGCCAGGAACGCGGGAGAGCATATCGAAGTGCTCCTCGCGGTACCAGCGGTTGAGCTCGTCTTCCTGGTCGGCGGGAACGACAACGGACACGGCAATGAGCACAGAGCCAGCGGAGGCGGTGTCGGTTTCATCCTCAAGAGGACGGTAGTCGGGGGCCTTCTGATCGTCTAACAGGTCGTAGAGTCGGCGATCGACGGCAATTTGAGCCATGGTGGCTTTCTCGCGTGTGGTCTTGATGCCGTCGCCTCGCAGAGCCAGGTACGTCTCGCGGGTCAGCTCAACCATGTCGGTGATATCGTACAGAGCAACCCATTCCGGCTCGAGTCCATCAGTGGCCCTGTACCGGAAGCCATTGGTGACAAAGGGCAAGCGTAGACGCAACGGACCGTGTTCTGAGTTGTACCAGTCGTGGAACTGGGCCGCGGGGAGAGACGGGCGGGGTTGCATTGTAACGTAGAGCAGGCCGGGGGTCGCCATTGTGAGTTCTGTAGAATAACCACAACCGGTGAGTACAGAGTATGATGGACAATAAACAAAGGCAAGTAAATAAGATCGAGGATGTTTATTTGGCAGGAATGAGACTTACAACTGACGCCTATTCTACCCCAGACCCCTCGGAATCGACGCCGATCTCGACCGCCGACCGGAGAACCGATGTCTGGCAATGCCGCTCAATGTTAGTCATCTCATGCCATCATTATCAAATACTGTCGTGACTCGTCATTTTAAAGGCGAAATGAGTGAATTCCCATCATTCTCAGTCTGCGATGGATGGGATGGAGTAGATGATGAAGATTGGGTTCTCCTGACAAGGAAGATGAGACGAAATCGACCCGGCCACGTGACTGTCGTATGATCACCCCCATTGCGTTGCTAGTACAACAGATGAGATTTTACTGTCATATATCCACTCTATTCAATTCTATATCTATCATTAATCATACCAAACGGCATTCATTCCGAATCCCTTCTCGGGAATATCCAGCCTAGCCACCCGGGCCAGGGTCTCGTCCTTGAAGCGATATATCTCCACAAACCCGTCCTGGTCGTCGCACAGTGCCAACCATTCATCGCTAAAGTCGCAGGGGCTGACCGCATTGGAGTGACCACCGCTGTTGGAGGTGGGGTGGATGAACAGCTGTCGTTCAACGTTGCCGTTAGGACCCAGCTTGAAGGCCGTGATATAGCCGGTCCAGGGGCGGCCGTAGGTTCCGCGCGTGGTTGCAAACAGGTACTCGCCGCTTTGCGAGGTGAAGCAGACGTCACCGCGGTATTTGTTCGTGGGAGGGACGCCTATTCATCATCAGTATTGGACGGACCGATGGTCATGGCCATAGACACTTACCCGCGGGGAGCAATGGGTAGGTGATGTGAGTGAAGACAGGGACATGGCGCTTCTCGTCAATCACATACACCGCCAGACGGTTGCCCGCCTCCATCAGCGCGTACAGATACTTGCCGCTGGGGTGGATGTCGACCCAACGGGGGTGGTCATCCGGCGACGGGGCCTCGAGACAGTCGACGAGGGTCAGCTCGCCCGTCTCGGGGTCCTTGCGATGGGTCCAGATCTTGTTGGCCTGCAGATCGGCCGAGTAGAGGTAGGTTTCTGTGGGGTCAAAGACCATGCCGTGGATGCCTGTGTTCTCCTGGTACTCGTAGTTCTGGACATTCTTGACCAGGCGGCCGTCAGAGAAGTCGACGGAGAAGACGTTGCCGTAACCAGCGTAGTTGTAAAAGGGCGCGCCGTAGACGTTGTAGGGGGGTTTGTGCGCGGCCAGGACGAAGATGGCGCGGGTGTTGCTTTCGCTACTGGGGGCCAGAGCTGCAGATGCGCTCAGCATGAGACAGTGCAAAGGTAGGAAAAGTGCATACGGTGACCAGCAAGAGGATGAGACACTTGATGTACAATGTCTGTTGGGCTGTTGATGGCGAAGCTGTTCCATTTCTTCATGGCAGCTCCGTAGAGGGTTTTCTTGTCATGCTGGACAACATTAGTGAATGTTATTCAAGTGCTTGGATACATACTGAAATGGTCAACCAGGAGATCGGCTCGTCCTCTGGAATCTCGGTCTTCTTGACCAATTCCAAAGTCAAGGCCTCGTCGTCGAATGCGACGGTGTACAGCCGCCCTGGCGGCGTCCACGTGCCTATCACCAAGTGATGCTTCATTGTGTTGACAGAGGCAGAGATCAATTCAAAAATAACATGATTCTATAAATTTGGACTACATTGAGATGATAATTCTCTCCATACTTCATGCGGGGAACGGCATTCGATGACGGCAGTGCAGAACGAGGAAGAAACAATACCCGCGGCTAAACTCAATTCCCTGACATCATCTACACATTCAACTCTGATATTCACTCTAATACCCTATAAACCACATTCCATGAGACTTCACCCCTCGCACACTCCGCACACCAGCCAAAAACAAAAGCTACATCCAAAATGCGCCTGCCATACGCCCCCTCCACCCCACCCCCCGACGCAGACCCCTCCACCACCGAAATCTACGCCCGCATCGCCGCCCGCAGACACCCCCGCCCACTCATCCCCCTCGATCTCTCCCTCCTGCACTCCCCCCCAGTCGCCGACGGCTGGAACAGCTTCCTAGGCGCCATCCGCACCCGCACAATCCTCCCAGGCGCGCTCCTCGAGCTATCCGTCTGCCGCGTGGCGGTCCTCAACGGCGCCGTGTACGAGTGGAACGCGCACGCGCCGCTTGCGCTGAAGGACGGGGTGACGGCCGACGAGCTGCGGGCGGTGCGCGAGGTGGAGGCGACGATTACCGATGCTGGCAAGGAAGCGCTGGGGCGGAGTGTGCTGTGTGAGGTGCAGAGGGCGGTGGTGCGGTATACGGATGAGATGACGCTGCGGGTGAGGGTCGAGGAGGAGACGTTTGAGCTCTTACGGGCGGTTGGGCTGAATGAGAGGGAGATTGTCGAGTTGACGACGGGGGTGGCGGCGTATAACTGTGTGAGTCGGGTGTTGGTTGCGTTGGATGTGGGGGAGAATAATGGGAGGGAGATGAAGAGTGTGGAGGAGTTGGTTGCTTGAAGTTATTACAACAAGGTTTTAGAGGCGAAGTGAAGGGCAATCAATTTTAAGGAAGAGATGCTATGTGCTATGGAGGTCTACAGGCATTGAGAGTAGTAGTCGTTCAGCTTCTGGCAGGTATATGGGCTGGCGCAAGAGGTTGGACCAGACCATCCGATTCCACCACACTGACCCCAGTGCTGTGCAACTCCGGTGCTGCCGGGATTACCACCAGTGGTAGCGGTCGTAGACGGCTTGGTAGTGGTAGTCGTCGTCGTGGTGGTAGTTGGGGGAGTGCCACCCGAACCACCGACAAAGTACGGCTTCAACAGCGAAAGATAGTTCAGATAGCCAGTGCCAGACGGCGGCTCCATGCTGAATACGTAATCCGCCCACCAGGGGCCAGCTGCCCACCATTCAGCGCCCATCCACACATCCGAGTTGGCAGACATGTAGTCAAGCATGCCCGTCACAGCGGACTCGCACACGCTGTTGGCGCCCCCGGCGAACTCGCCCAGGAAACCTTTCTTACCATTGGTCTTCAACCACTGCGTGGCGGACTGCACGCGCTCCTGGCCGATGGTGGAGCTCACGCAGGTGGCCGAGGTGCCGGACCCGTCTGAGTCGAGATACTGGTGCATCTCGTAGACGATCTTATTCTGGGGGTCGGTGAGGGCCTTGAGGTTGTCGTTGACATTAGTCCAGGTCCACGCGCCGGACCACGAGTTGCCCTCGACAAAAATGTACTGCGAGGTGGCGCCGGCAGCACGGATGGCATTAATGGCGGCCTGGTTGAGGTTGAGAACGAGGGTCTGGTCCATGTCATGGTACTCGTTGTCTGTCCGTCTCGTCAGCTTGTCCTTGCGTTTCAACATTGATGGCAGCATACTGGTGTCGAAAATGACATGGTCATTGGACGCAAATTGGGCAGCCACGGTCTTCCAGAACGCAGCAAAGTCATCAGTCGATGAGATGATATTGCCGTAACTGTCCCGTTGGCAACGTCTAACAGAGCAAAAGGAAGAAACTCACTATCTCCCATAGTTATGGGGATCAATCACCGCATACGCCCCCAGACTCGTAATCGCATTGACAGTCTAGCCTGGTCAGCGACTTTTTCAACATCCAGACCGCATACGAACCGCCTTGAGATCATTCATGTACGTCGCATCAGGAGTCCCCGTCATCGTGTTCGGGATCAGCCTCTCCATCCGGAAGGCCACGCGGAAGATGTTCATCCCCGCATCATGCAGAGTCTTGATCGTCGACGCACTGGGCCAGATATAATCCGTCCCCAGCACGCCAGGGAACTTGGTCTCTCCAAACTCGGCGCCGGACTCGTTCGCCCCGAACCCTATCCATAACCGTCAGCTTCGTAACAGACAGGGAAAGGGGGAGACATACAAACGAACCCCGAAGCCCGCTTCGCATTGGGCACCGCCAAAGCGAGGGGGAGAAGCGCGCAGATAATAGTCGAAGCCTTCATCTTGTATCCTTACTTATCAAACTATCCACTGAAAGACAAGCACGGCTCACAATGAAGGTATATATACTCATCACGGCCAAACAACAAGACATCAGGACGGCCCCTCGGACCGCACCCCGACACTTTCGGCAGGTCTGCATGTCTACAAGGAAAAACCATCCCAAACCGGAACGGAGCCCGTCAGGACTGCCTAACGGATTCGTCACGGTACTTGAGGGTGTAATCTCCGGGACTAGATTGCATGGCGTCTACCCTGCAGGTGGCGACGCCCAAATTGGAGGGCATGTCCTGCAGGGCTCACAGCCACTGTACGAAGCGACCGAACGGGTACTACCCCGACTACTCTGCAAGTAGACTGCTGTTGAGTGTCGACTGTCGGAGGATGATCCGACCCAGTCCGGATCGCTAGGCTAGCTCGAATGGCCGGCATCAATGAGGCCAGGGACTGATCATGATCAATTCAGTATTACAGGTGATATCCCTTGAGTATTACAATGAGCAAATAGATTAAACAAGTAAATTACAGGAGTCGCTACCCTACAATGCACATACAAATCAACGATTCTGGTATTAGGCTAATATCCGCGTATACAATACGACGCAAATGAAGCTGCGGGGGTGGCCCGTAGCGCATACCCCGAGTCCTCCTTTGCGGAGAATAGCTTGATTTGCCTGAATTCCAAGTTTCGCTTGAGTAACTTCCAAGGCCTAAGGTATTTGGCTCGTATGGCATCCCTGCGTGTCAATGTCACGCTGCCACCCTGCACCCCAGAAACCGGCAAGTGACCCCGGAGAAAAGGATATGCAGGCGCAGGGGATAACACAATACCTTGCAGCAGATGACTCCTCGTACAGGCTATATTACGGCAAGCGCTAGACTAGTCAGGGATGAGACTTGCTAAGGGTGAGTTCTTCAGGTATGGTCCAATCAGCTGGATGGAATATAGATTGATGCGGACGCTGCGTATTAAGGGTCGCGAGGCTTATTAGTCCTATGAAAGGAAATACAAAGAGAAACTAATGAAGAAAATAAATGCATTGAAACACTGAATTCAACTAGTCGGGTAATAGTAAACCATTTTTCTTCAAGCAGCCAACGTCAATCCCGCTCCCAGCTAGCTAGAGTAGGAAGTCAACTATCTACAGGCATTGAGAGTAGTAGTCGTTCAGCTTCTGGCAGGTGTATGGGCTCGCGCAAGAGGTTGCACCGGACCATCCGATTCCACCACACTGGCCATAGTGCTGAGCGACACCGGTGCCGCCAGTGCTGCCACCAGTGGTAGTGGTCGTCGTAGGCTGCGCGGTGGTGGTAGTTCCGCCCGAACCACCGCTGCTGAAGGTAGAGCCGATGGGGCCGACCTTGATGTTGGAGTAGACGACGGAGGCGTCCGGGTGGTTGCTCTCAACATCGGAGGGCACGCCAGAGGAGATGTCGCAAGTGCCGCGGGCCACGCCGGGGGTGGTGGAGGAGCCAGTGGTCGGGTAGTTGCTGTCGAGCCAGAGCATGTTGGCCGAGTGGTCATCCCACAGGGACATGACGAGGACCATGCCCTGGGCGAGCGCAGCGCCCATGCCCTCCATACCGCCGTGCTTGGCGAAGACGTTGGTGTCCCCGAACAGACTCTTCTGGGCGGTACAGTAGTCGTTGGTGATGGAGTTGCCGGTGACACCAGACCAGGTCGACACTGAGTTGGGGATCACCTTGCCGTTCTGCACGTAGAAGCGCTTGATCTCTTTGAGGGTGCCGCTGGCGGTACCACCGTTGGTGATGAACTGGGTGACGACGGTGAACTTGCTCTTGGTGTCGACGGTCATGCCGGGACCGTAGAAGGTCTTGTTGCCCTGGCGGAAGGAGTTGAAATCGCATCCGTCGGGGTCGCAGGTGCCGCCATAGCGGTCGGTGCTGTAGGTGCCACCGCAGGCGTTGCCGCTGCACATCACCTGGCCAGGAGTGTCACAGGGGTGAGGGGTGAAGGCCGCAGAGATGCTGTTGGCCTCCCAGATATCCATCTCCGCGCAGCAGGAGCCGTGGTTGCCAGTACCCGCATTGGCATCATTGGAGGAGGGCTGCCATCCCTCGACGTTGGCCTGACCATTGATGAACTTGAGGTCGCGAGGGCACTGCGAGTCGCAGTAACCAGTACCGTACTTGGCACCGGCCTTGTTGGTTGGATACTTGGACATGCCACCGTCGGCGTCCATGGCGACAAAGTACAGAGCGCCGTTGAGACCGCAGGGGAGGTTGGAGACATCGACATCAAAGGTGAACTCCTGGTTCAGCAGCTTGAACATCTGGTAGGTGGAGTCGTCCTTCATCATGTACAGACGCGAGCCGATGTTCTTCTGCTGGCTGGTGGTGACGAAGTTGAGGCGGAGGGAGTTGCCGCTGGCAGTCACACCATAGGTGGACTGGTAGTTGGCACCCTCGAGGGCGCAGTTGGACGCGCAGGTCTGATCGTCAGGACAGAGGGTCGTGTCCCAGGTGTTGCCGGTGTAGCAGTTGGTGTAGCCGCCGACGTTGTGCACCCAGCGCCAGTTGGCGTCGATGACCACCTTGCCATTGTTGGTGGTGCAGCTGCCGCCAGCGGTGCAGGTCTGCCAGGTCATGGCGGGATGCACTTCCGCCTGGGAAGTACCGACCTGCTGAGCCTGACCAGAGCCCAGAAGGGCGGCCAGGATGAGCGCGCTCTTGTACATGCGGTAGGAGAAGGTAGTGGCCAGCATTGTGATGGATTGTCAAAGAGTTGACTGGTTGAGGGAGTGATAGGGATGAGGATGAAGAGGAGATTCGAACAGAGGTAGACCTGCTTTTATATCTTATGAGCATGAGAACGAGTTGAAGAGATTCAACATACTCATCCGCTAAAGTCGTCCATGGATTGCTGCAGCAAGCGCTCAACATCGCCGTCGACGGCTTTGCGGACCGTATGCCGTTGTATGTCCCCATGGGGAAAATTCGATTCCCCGGGTGAAGACATGAAGAAATTACAGAGTTCAGTCAACTAGTGCAAACGAGATGAGATGTGATTGATGCCTTTCGCCTCCGGTACCTCGACTAGCAGCTAGTCGGCGCAGTGCCTTGACCGATCAGGAATCGGCTAAATATCCGTGAGGTCAGCGGTTACGCAGCATCTTAGGAGACAACACTAGTCCGTGCTCGTTACTCCTTACTACGTCGTATTACATTTCTGCAGAACCTTAGGGGTTTCTCTTTCCTGATTCGGTCCGTTACACCGCCGCTTTTTGCTCAAGCATCAACTGCCTGATCGTGGGCATGCGTGCTCAGTGCGTATCCTAACCCGTCAGGAAATAACCCTGGAGCAGCCAAAGCACCTATCAAGCACTAGATCAATTTTTTTCTCCCGTACTAATCAGTTGAATAAACTGTGTAGCCAAGCCGGACTTTTCCCTCAAGCAACCTGTATTTCATATTTGCATATATGCGTACTTCACCTTGTCTCCCTGTCTTCACCACCTAAGAGTTAAGCAAAGCTTATACAAGTGAAATGGCCTACGAATAACGCTGCTGGTACTATTATTTGATATGAAGCTTTTAGTGCCATGAACTCTCAAACTGCCCTATACAAGCCATGCTATGAAGGAAGGAATGACGCTCTCTTTTGCATATGTACCCCTTCCCTTCGGTTTTTACAAGCTCCTTTCTCACGCAATACATCATGCCCAAATCTATTCGCATTAGGTGTGGAGATCCCATGCAACAATCAATTAGTCGTCAAATGGGAGAGGTTGGCATATTCGTAAAGAGCCTACTTTCCAGCTGTTCCGACAACTTCAGGCGCTCTCTCCCTCCAGTGAGGATCTTCCAGCCTTGCTGCTCTTGGATACCTTCATTCCGTAACTGTTACAGGGTTTTAGCGTTGCACTTATGTATGGGATGCGCTACTCATTCATGCATATATAGCTCTAACCGAAGATCAATATCAACAGCTACTCCCAAAACGCGGCAAACAGCATGAATTGGAGCTCATTGAGAACTCATAGAATGATACATTATGCTTGAAGTCTCACTCTGCATAATCAAGCACCTTGGGTTATGCCTTTCCCTGATATCTTCCAACGCTCTTCATCTAGTCGGCTTGGAGTCATTCTCAGGAGTCTTGTCCGAGGGTGAATTACCTCACGGAAACTGAAAGAGGAACGAGGCATCACAATTAAACGTATAGCGGAATGACATACGCCATCTTAGGGGAATGCTTGAATGATCCATAGTATGGGTACATTATAAACCGGTGAGCTGACAAAAGTAGGTAGAGACATGACGGGCAGGAGATTTAGTGCGTGCGTGTCCTGACCATGAATTGACGTGGCCGGTTCATCAGGAGTATTCCCGGACTAGGTAGTGATCTAAGCTCCTTGAAAAGCGGCGGGCATCGACTGTCCAATATCGCTTGATGTGACGCTGACTGCAGGCCATCCTCGTTGTTCCTCGGCATTTGGGCGGCTGATCCCTTTAAATTAACTGCACTACGCCACAGATTCTGCAATCATATCGTGGCCAGTTATTACTTCTTCTCTAACTGGCAAGTCGCTAGGTTTTCTCCTCCTGTCCTCCGAATGATTTCTGCCCAAATTAAGAATGCTGAATGGCCCTTCTGTTTCCTAACGGGGATCCCGGTCACTTACTTGGAGTCAGGATACCTATACCACATGCTTCTTAATCTGCTATATCCGGTCTCTATCAATCTATATCCGTCATCTGATTGATGATATTGTCATAACCAGTCACCATTGTCCGGCGTCCGGTAATATCCGCACTATATAGGTATGATTGTTTCATCAACCAACCGGAAGGATCTCAGTCCTTGTGAGTGACCAGCAAGCGAGTCCAATTTGGCCTGCCTTAGCGCCCAGATAGTGAGATTGATCCCAGACTCATCTGACTTGCCACTTCTCCTGATCCTTCAACCACTGACTCCGCAGTCCGCACCCCGCTAACTTACTGCCAGTAACCTAAGCGCCCACGTCGCAGCGTAGAACATGGGTAGCCTCTATAGTGCATGTGCACTTATTCCCCCTGGCCCACGGAGTAATATTTATCTTTTCGCCCTCAGTTTTTCCTTCAATCGTCCTGTTTCCTGCTCAGTAAACCAGACCCTCCGTCAACTCACGCAGTCCATAATGACCGGAACTCTGAGGTATCACCGCTTGTCAAGCTGACACTAACATCCACATCACTCTGTAGTAATCTTACTTGGAAGTATACCTGGTAACCCCGCAGTGGCAACAGGCGAGCCCGGAAATGAAGTTCGATCAACCTGTTTCAGGCGGTCAGAATGGGAATGGTCGATACGAGAGGGGTAACTTTCTAATTAACCTTAGTGAGCTTAGCAGCCAAACACAAGCTGCGAATTCGAGACCCTTTAAGGGCACCTTTGGCGTTGACATGGTGCTACCGCCTGGATTGTCGGCTCTTGCAACCTAAATCCCGAAAGGTCTCTGGCGGAGTGTGTTCGGTGAGAAATGTGGGTATAGTTAGACCTTGACCGCAAGGACTCAGAACCGGTAGACACTGCAGGTGGCTCTTTACGGTATTCTGGCCTGAAGATGCGGGGAATCGCTTAGGTTGAGATCGCTTGATCTGAACAATTTGGACAAGACGGAGGATTCGACCGGATCTGTCGGGTTGGGAAATATCTTCAGATCATGAGGGTGTATGCCCTTCATTGCTTGTGAAATCGTCTTTATTATTTTCAATAGAACTATTCTTCCAAAGACGTCCATATGATAAACCTGAATCTTTATCGTGTGTAGCTTGACTAGATGATTGATCGTTTAATTCTTTGACTTGGAGAATAAAGTAGCATACTACTTATTTTCATCTAAATCAATGACAAGGAACCGTTCATACAATTTCTCTAAACGATTATGCAGGAATAGAATGAAGACTGCGGATGGTTCTTAGCGCTTAGCAACATGTGTACATCATTCTACATCTAAGCAAGCAATGCTATTTCTTATATACCCTTCTCACTCATTCTGACGGCTAGAGAGTCTGAGTAGCTTGAGTTTAAACCTTCTCTGCGAAGTATATATTTAGTGTATTCAAGGACTAGATATATCTTTGGGATGACATTCCTCCCTGGTAGATATGTCCATGGAATATCATCTCTACATATTCCAAGTCTTATAGCTGATAATACAGAAGCTCCTCATGAGCTACGAGTATAAGCAATATGATAAACAACAGCTACACCTACACTGCTGATAGCTTGTTAAGGATGATGCTCAATCGGGAAATGACAGCTAACCCTAATCTTATCGATCAGCCCCACCTTAGTCAGCGCCGAAAACGGCGCGGGGTTTTCTTCCCTTTTGCTGCATAAATTCCCACATCGACCGGATCTCCCCGTCTTCTTACCGTTATCTACCGTCCGTTGTCTTTGCTTCCACTGCAATTCAACACTCCCCCTCGATTCAACATCATGGACAGCTTCATCCTCACCCTCTCCTGCCCGGACCGCCCCGGCATCGTCCACGCCGTGACCGCCTTCCTGGTCGCGCGCAACCTCAACATCGTTGACTCATCGCAATTCGGCGATCCCACCTCGAAGCGCTTCTTCATGCGCATGCACTTCGCCGCCTCCGCCTCCCCCACCGAGGTCACAGACGAGCACCCCAAGCTGACCGTCGACGAGCTGCGCGCCGCCTTCGAACCAACCGCCAAGTCCCTGGCCATGGACTTCGCGATCCACCCCGCCGCCCAGAAGCCCCGCGTGCTGATCATGGTCTCCAAGATCGGCCACTGCCTCAACGACCTGCTCTTCCGGCAATCCACCGGCCAGCTCGCCATCGAGGTGCCCCTGATCGTCTCCAACCACCCGGACTTCGCGCCCCTCGCCGCAACCTACAACGTGCCCTTCGTGCACCTGCCCGTCACGCCGGACACGAAGCAGCAGCAGGAGACGCGCGTGCTGGAGCTGGTCCGCGAACACCAGATCGACCTGGTCGTGCTGGCGCGGTACATGCAGGTGCTGTCGCCGATGCTGTGCGAGGCCATGTCCGGGCGCATCATCAACATCCACCACAGCTTCCTGCCGAGTTTCAAGGGCGCGAAGCCCTACCACCAGGCGTATGACCGGGGTGTCAAGATCATTGGCGCCACGGCGCACTTTGTGACGAGTGATCTGGACGAGGGCCCGATCATCGAGCAGAATGTGGTGCGGGTGAACCATGCGCTGAGTCCCAAGGAGTTGACGCATGCGGGCAGCAATGTCGAGAGTAATGTACTGGCGACGGCGGTCAAGTATGTGACCGAGCGGAGGGTTTTGCTTAATGGGCACAAGACAGTTGTTTTTGCTTAGACTGTTTGCATAGTCGGCGGATTGCCAGGTAGCACTAAAAGTCTCAAATAGGGTTATACAGGATCTAGACTCGTTCAGGGGCGAGAAAAGCAATACAGTGCGTTCAGATACACTATACCAGTGAAGAACTATTCTCATACTCTACTAATGCTGCCAATGGCGCGATGATTGGCTCGAGAGGACAGAGGATATCTTGACATCGAAGACAAGTCGATAAGCGACAAATGTTCGGATGCAAGTAGAGGAATTGCAAGCTGAGTCAGAAGAGAGCATAACTCAACTGGATCAACTGGATCAACTGTCAAAAAACCTGAATAGCATTGCTAATCCAGAGATCACTCCAGAATGGCAATCTCCCATTGCTTCTTTGCCGTCTGAAAAAGCCCCTCTTCTGTCAAAATCTCCCACCCGATCATTGCTAGAGACTTGCCCACAATGACTGCTTCCGCGTGCGCAGTATCTGTCCCAGCAGCAGTAGCAAACGAAGAGTGGTGAAGGAATGAGCCTTCCTGGTCCGTAACGGCGAACATGGCATGCAGTGTTGGAACGAGATAGCTCACGTTTCCTACAGAGTCAGCCGTTGTCTTTGCTCGTGGACCAAAACGTACCGATATCTGAAGAGCCAGTCAAGACCTTGTCGTGGCTCTTGTGATCTTCCGTCCATAACGAGCCATGTGAGTCTGGTATCGTTCGCAGAGGGCGTCATTGATCTTGATATCAGTATACAGTTGATCCCTGCATAATTAGCACTTTAGCACCTGTCAAAAAGAACACTAGAAGACATACTCGACAATATCGACGCGACATCCCGACGATAACGCCCCTGCCTCGATACAATTCCTGGCTCTTCCCATCAACCGATCCAGCCCCTTCAGCGTCGGACTGCGCACCTGCCAGTACGCCTTGGTCCGCTCCGGAATGACATTGGCCACAGTGGGCGTCTCCGTGAACGCGACATGCACCCTCTCATCAGGCTCCATCTGCTGCCTCAGCACAGAAACGTTGTTGTACGCACTAACGAGAGCATCCAGCGCATTTATCCCGTCCCAGGGGTTACCCCCAGCATGCGCGGACTTGCCGGTAAACTCGCAGTGGATCTCCTTGCGTGCGTTCATGAGTACACCGGCGACACCGTCCGAGTCAACACCCGGGAAGAGCTTCTTAGGTCCAGCATGACTAGTTTGTCAGTTCTGAAGCCAGGGAAAGGTGAATACTTACGCCATAAGCGAGATATCGACTCCCTTGTACGCTCCCTTTTCAATCAACTTTGTCTTCCCACCCCCGTTCTCCTCGGCCGGTGTCCCGAGCAACTGCGTCCGTCCAGGGATCCCATACTTCTTCACCAGGGCTGACAGTGCCAGGAATGCTGCCACGCTGCTCGTGGTAATGAGATTGTGCCCGCAGGCATGCCCGATCCCAGGGAGAGCATCGTACTCTGCATTGAAGTTGATCAGCCGGCCGCCGGACCCGCAAGCTGCTTCAAAGGAGGTGTCGAGTCCATAGGCGTGGCGGGTGACAGTGCAGCCTTGGGCTTCGAGAAAGGCGCAGATGGTCTCGTGGGCTTTGTGCTCCTGGTATGCGGTTTCAGGGTTTGACCATATCTAGAGAAATCGGGCAGTTAGCTGAAATAGGTCGAGTTCTGAGCGGAATACCTCTTGGTTGAGCTCTCGCAAGGGGGACTCGAGATTGTCCAGGGTTGCGTCGATGGACGCTTTGATCTCATCAATGTTGGGTATGGGGATTGCCATAATATCTTTCTTGATTGCCAGTAGGGGGAATATACACCTGTGTGAATGACAGAATGACAGTCCTTATTATATGCCGGCAAAGACCGCGGTACTCCAGCCACAAGACCATGACAGATCAAACAGCCGCTGTCTCTGGGTAAAGAACCAAAATTCAATAATGCTTGTCGGCTTATCAATGCGGGGTAAGCCTTTGCAATGAGTATCAGGAAGATACGAGGGTCCAATTGCCGTCGCCAGTCTCTGCCCATCTCTTCGATATGCTGGGCAGAATGAATCCATAGGCGAGCCGTGGTACTTGCTTCTACTTCTCTCCGCATTCAAGTGGAGCATGGGGTAAGCACTCGGGCTTCATTCCGTATGCCATTAGCCAATTCCATTATCCGGAATCATGCAATAGTAAGCGACTATAGAGTTACGCTTTGCCGACCAACGCCTCGCATTGGCGGATCTGCCGAGCTAGCTTCTCCCCGGACATATCTGTCTATATCTTGAGAGAATCATCCCAAATTTTCCTATCTTCAGGTGACTACGCCTATCAATCGTCTATCTTTCCTACTATAATTCCGCAGCGCGTATCAAACTGTCCCTATTGTGCTGTGTTCGCAGCAAACACCCAGTCCCGGCACTCGTGGCATTTATCAGGATTGACATTAGCTTGGACAAACGGCGGATAACTTCCTCAATTGCCGACTGGTGTTTGTGTCCATGACCATGGCCATGATGGTGGAGTAGAAGACCTGCTTGGATCTGGTCTCGATTGTCAAATACACACAACGATAAGACACAAAACAATCACAAAGAATTAAGCAGGACAGTTTCTTCCATTATTATTGATGAGTTCGGCTTCTCGACGCTGAAGGCCCTGCTCATGCAGTTGCCCCTCGGCGCTGGGCGCTGTTTTCGCTATCAATATCCTGCCGGCATCGACACTGATAACTCCAATGTCGCCGGGTTCACAAGAAAGGTGTGACGAGCGCCTTGCTGTTTGTGCATACTGCGTTGGAAACATCATTGGGCCCAGTTTTTGTCACGAGCGAAGAGCCGTGGTATCCGGTAAGTAGTCCTCTTCTTTCCTGTTGACGGGTCTGGATGCCATAGATCAATGAAAGCGGAGTGTCGGGCCTCGCACGGGGAGCATTCTTCCTGGTTCGTCTGCTTGTTTATCATAGTGTTCAGAACCGACGGGCGAATGTGGTTTACGGCGCAGTGACAGAGTTGACTGAAAGCCAGGAGGTGGCGCAGGAGCTGTCCAACAGGGCCGACGCGGAGATCGAGAGCTTTTGATAAGTTTTCTGGACATTAATCCTGGAACACTACAAACCGCAATGAAGGATGATCACTGCCTTCGTTTATACCGCACTCCATGCGACACAAGCAGGTACTTGGCGAACAGATCCTCCGCGAAATCGTCAAACGGCTCGTACGCGGCCCCAAGGCGATACGCAGCTGCTAGACCGGAGATGCACGCAATCTCATGCATATTCTAAACTTTATCAGCCAGTCCATCACATCCAAGGAGAAAACCAACCACCATAGTCCAAGCCCCCGCGTACGTCGTCCGATTCTTCCCATTGATGAACATCATCCCCGGTACAACCCGCAGATAATGCTGCCACCGATGCCCAAACTGCCGCCACCACTTCTTCGCAATGATCTTGTCGGGATTAACGCTCTCCCACGTCCACAGGTGCTTCTGCCGATCATCAAGGTAGATCGTCTGGTAGACATGCCTCTCCGGCTCGAGCGGGGGATTCCCCTCCCCGACTCTGTCCCGGAACTGATGCTGGTAATTCGAGCAGTCGAAGCCCATCTCGATGCACTGGTGCGCGTTGGCGAACGAGTGCGTGAAATACATGGGCGCGAAGCCCTCCCACCCGTCCATCCTGCACGAGGGCTGCTGCTTCGCGAACGCGATCTGCTCCTCTCTGGTGGCCGAGGCGCCCTTGGCGCAGAGATCCGGCTTGTACCGCGTCTCGAAGATGCTGTTGAAGTACTCGCTATCGGAATGGGTGATGGTGATGTCGTTGTAGAAGGCCACGCCGCCGAGGACGTACCGCTCGCGCCAGGTGGCGTGTTTGCTTAGCAGGGCCTTGGCTTCGTCGGCGGGAAGCGAGAGGACGAGTTCGTCGTACATCTCGCAAAAGTCGTCTAAGACTGCTTCCGCGGTTGCGCTGTCCGGACGGGTGGGTCGCGGACGGAGTGTGATGCCGTGGTTGTCTCGTTTGAGGATTTCGACTGGGGTGTTGAGACGGATGTCCACGCCTTTGGACGCCAGATCTGCGGCCCAGTCGCGGTAGAAGTCGCCTAGGTTCGGGAACGTGTACATGGTTGGTTGATTTTGGAGTAATGTGTCCGGATCGTACTCCCATAGTCTCATATTGGGATCATCAAACAGTCTCTCCAGCAGTGCAGCCGAAACGTTCGGTGTCTGGTTCCCCGTTCCCAGGAACAGCGCCATAATCGGGATAACCATCTTGTTGGCAAAGTCCTCGCTGAACCGGAACAGCTTCATTATCACCTTGATGGGCATAAGCCCCAGAATTGGAAACAGGCGCTTAATCCATTTGAGCACGCGGCCCAACTTCTTGATCTCGTCGGACTGCTGGTCGACGAGCGGCGAGGGAAAGACATTCGTGAAGAAGTTCTCCACGCCCTTGCCGAACGCGACTTGCAGTTTCACCGGACGAGGCTCGTAGCCGTACCGCCGGAAGAAGTTGAAGGTGTGTCGGAAAATCGGGGAGCCACCCTGCACGCCATCGTTCAGCCAGTCGGCGCCGTAGCGGGCTTCGTCTAGGGAGATGGAGGTTGCTTGGCCGCCGGTGTACGAGGCAATATCAAAGAGGGTCACTTCGAAGCGATCGGGATGGTTGGCCAGAGCAGAGGCGCAGGACTATTTCATTCAACTGGTGTCCGGATAGATCGATCTGGTGGATGAAGGCTTACCATGCCTGCGGGCCCAGCGCCAACAATCGCAACTCGGTTTTTCTTTTGGGGCATTTCGTTTCTACAGCTATTCTTACACTATGGGTATGAAAACCAAATTAGGAGTCAGATTGGGGTCTTTGAACATCTTATGCTTAAATATGACTGTCGTGCGTGACCATGACATCAACTTCCGCAATCGTCAATCATCACGATGCGATCTCAGATCGATTCAGATCGGCCGCTGATCACTCAATAGACTAGCCAATCATTGCCGTAGAAACGGAATAATCTCTGATAGGTTATTGGGACTTTTCCCCGTATTCCAGATACCTGTTCATCTTGTTTCTCGCCAGCTCCGTGTTCCTTTATCTGACGTCAACTGGCATCTGCTTGTCACGATTGATCTCTCAGCACACTTAGTCCTTCATATATTCGTTGGTAGGCTGTATAATCGATATTCCGCTAATTAACATGGTAATCCTCACGCCGAGCATATAGTCTTTCGCTGTGTTGCAGGACGTCGCAGTATGTAAGAGACAAAAAGACCTTAACTCAGACATCTATGAGCTCAACTCCTGGATACCCTCAAAGGACAGTATGCATGTCACTTCTCCACCCACATCGACGGAACCCTACCCTATTGTCAGCCTTATCTTGGAACACAAGGAGAAAACTGACCGAGCTTCGACAACCGCACACCGACCGCCCTGCACAACCTCCACGGCCTTCTTCAGGGTCGAATCAACTTCGTCCGCCTTGGTGACCGTTGCTCCCCACGCGTTGCCAGCCGCAGCCGCAATCCCAGGGTAATTCGGCGACGGCTCGAACGACAAATTCAAGTCTACATCCATGAGCATGGCCAGCTACTCTAACGAAAAGGAAAACCCACCCGCTCTATTCGACTCGGACGCCAGACCATCCTTGTGGACAAGCAATGTAGACACCTTGGGAGCGTTCCAGCCGCTATTATTCAGCACAACCAGGAGGAAAGGAATGTCGTATCGCCGTGCGATCCAATACACGGATTCCATCTGCGAGAAGAGGTATGTGCCGTCTCCGACGCTATATCAATCAGCTAAGCCGTATACTTTAATGAGCTGGGGAACTTACATCGCGCAGATGAACGAATCCCGTTTGGCCATTTTAACCCCCAGCGCTGCACCGCCGCCCCAGCCGAGCCCGCCTGCGCCGCTGCCGTAGAGCGTTCCGGGCTGGTGTGTCAGTCAGGTAGGGTTGGCGGAAGTGGCACACATACCTTGGTAAAGTTCAAGTGATGGATGACGGGAATGGCGTTAGTTACCGCTTCGATCACAATAACACTGTCTTCCGGTAGATGCTGCCGTAGTCTGGACGACAGGTACGGAACCGTGACGATGCCTTCCGGTGAAGGGGCTTCAAGGTCGCGTAGGCTCTGTCTCCACTGTTTGTAGCGTGTCGCGCGTGCGTCGAATGCCTCGACGTATTTGGCTCGGCCGAGAGATTGCTTGTCGAGGTAGGCGTTGAGCTGTTGCAAGGCTAGCTGGCAGCTGACCTTGTATCGCCGGATAGCTTGCATGAAGAAGACTACGTCCGTTGGTATCGAGTGGAGTTGGCAGAGGATTTGGGCTCACCTGGCATCTGTTGCTTCAACGGGTCTACGTCAAGGTGGAATACCTTCGTTCCTGTGCTCTGTGAGCCATTGTCTGATGAAAGTTGTAGAAGAGCATACCATCTACTGGCTTGCCTGCCGTCGGAACCCAAGGAACATCACAATCCATCACCAGGATGACATCGGCCTCGCATACAGCCGGATGCGTGCTGACCGTTACACCAAGGTATGCTTCGTGATCACTGCGAAGACTCACATCCGACCCGACAGTCTCAATAACGCTGATAGGGAGCCTGTCGCATAATTCTGCCAGGAGCGGCGGCGTCCGTGGATTCCGGCCCATATAGCCAGTGATGATCAACGGTCGTTTGGCATCCATCAGAGCAGCGGCGATGCGCTCGACTTCGGGTTCTGGCAAAGCACATGGGGTGACGGGGCCCATGAGTTCGTTGCCAAGGTCGGGAATTTCTACTTGCTACTTTCATAAGTAACCACCTCAAAGTGAGAGCGACAACTTACCTCCTCCAGGACTTCTCGTGCGGCAGTAAGATATGCTGGACCCTTTGGATCAGACATGGCAAACTGCATAGCCCGATACACCATCTGCTTGATGTTACGGCCGGTACGGATCTCGCCTGAATAACGGCAGTACTGTCGCACGATGGATGCTTGGTCGGGGACATCTTGCAGCCAGTGGATGAACCTACAGGTGTTAGATTGCGTGAAGTCAAATATGGCCATAGCCTACTCTGTCCTCGAACCGAGCATCTCCCCACTATCAGTAAAAGGACTCAATCCTGCAAAACACAGGACGGGTACTCGGGTGACGGAGGCATTGTGGATGGATTGGCCCATTGCTAGGGTTCCGCAGTCGACATGTACAATGACGCATTGCTTTTGAGTCAGTCGTGTTCATTTTAATAATTGATAGAAACGTACTGGAGATCCGGTAACTTGAGCGTAACCCAAGGCCGCGGATAAAGCGACCAGTTCCGAGGGACAGGTGATGATCGTAGGTAATTTAGTCGAGTTCTCTTCACTCCTCGTCAGTTATGAATCTTACTCGGACTGAGAGTGCGTACCCTGTTTCGCTTTGATCATGGCCTCCAGCATAGCCGGATGATCACTCCCCCTGATCACAGTCAGTATGATGGGAGCAACGAGGACTTTCGACTGACAAATTCACAAAACAATACTTGACTCCAGCCTCAACTACATCATATCAGCACCACCCATCAACAATAGCAAAGCTCATATACCCAGTGCCTCGAAAAAGCCAGTGGCAGCGGAGCCAACACGGCTGTCACTTTCCCATTTCCGTTTCTTGGTCTGTATATCGCCGGTCATTGTGATTTTTTTGGATGTGTGAGTCCTACAGGTATCGAATCTCCTCCAAGGCAGAAAATAGGAGCTATTTAACAACTAACTAGTCTACAGCGGGGAGATATCAACAGTCAAGTACCGAACAGCTAGCACTCCCTGAAGAGCTTGTGTTTCTTGGCGCGACTTCGGAACATCCGGGGGCCAATCAGACGCGTGCAAATTGGGGTAGCTCCTGCCTTCCCCGCGTTGCCTGCCGATGGACATGCCGAACTTAAGAAGATGGAGAGCAGAGAGAAGGTGGTTTTGGGCATAAGCTCAACTCTTGGTTGAATTTAATGACAAAGAAATAAAAGTAAGCATAACCCTTAAACTAACGGGGTCCGTCAGAGTACACCGTCCTCTTTGACAGGCTGGAGGGATTCATACTTGTCACAGACTCTGCTAAAAATAATCTCCACTGCCATCTTCAGTGAGTGAGTGGCGGTGTACACGCTAAAGGGGCGCTAAAAATAACTACACTCTGACTCAGTTCAGGTTGTGTCCGCGTTTATCCCTCGGCTTCTGCCACTATTTAACATTATCCGTTGCTCCCTAGCTGTCAATGGTAATTTCTCTGCCTCCAAGACGACCGGCTCACTGAAAGTTCCGCTGTCACCATAACAGCATGGCCACGTTCCACCTTTTCCCCTGTCTCCCCTTTGAGCTTCGTGCTCGCATCTGGGAGCTGACAGTCGAGCCGCGTACTGTTGAGGTCCGTGGTAAGAGAGAGCATGGGTCATGGCGCAAGGTTTTGCATGTAACCTCATCAACACCGGTACCTACAGTCCTTCAGGCCTGCCATGAAGCCCGAAACCTGAGACTATACCAGCAGGCCTTCATCTTCTCCTCAGCAGTTGAGCCGCGGTATGTCTGGGTCAACTTCAATGTCGACATGGTATCAATTGGGGACACAGATTTTGACACAATGGAACCGGCTGAACAACTGCTGATCCGCCGGCTTACCATTCAGCGCGAGAATACAGCCTCCTTCTTCTTTGAGTCCCTTGAGCTGTTTTCTAATCTGGAGGAGATGCATGTCATCTGTGAAGACGGCCTGATGGCATGGCAGGACGCCTGGGAATATCTTCCCTGGCCATGTCCAAAAAAGAATCTGAGGTTCATTGACAAGGAGACGGGGCAGATTGCAGTTGGTGAGGACCTGGATAGGATGGTGGATGAAAGGAAGGCGTCTCTGCCTGATGATCCTGAATGATTGTTATCGACCTGTCTTGTATTTCATAGCACTTGCTGCGTTCCGTGGGCAACGCCCGACGCTGCGGGTCTCTGCAGCCCACTCCCTGCTGCGCCTGGCAGGTAAGGCTGGCAAGACAGCCCTGCTGTTCGAACATATCATCCAGCACCCCGAAAGTGCCTTTAGCGGCGGCACTTGCCATATCTGATGTCGACATTAGCCCAGAAAATGGTTGCACTTGGCGAATCTCACGTCGACAGCCGGGTAATCAGGCATCTGGTCCACGACTAGGACTGGGATCGATCACGAAGATCAATTTGGAGGTGCGTCTAACATACAAACGAATTTCAGGTGCTGTGCTTCTTAGTAATTAGCTAGCTAAGGAAGAATAGTAACCAGGGACATTTCGTCACATCAATCGGGTGTATTTTCCAAGTCTAATATAATACGAAGTAGCTCTGGTAGATTGGGTGACATCGTGGCCGGCGCTAAGCACAGCCATGCAGTTCTCGACTGAACTAAAGCCTACTGTCTAGGCTGACACGCTACCTTCCACCATATATGTACATACCTTGAGTCAATGGTCCTCCATGACAGTAGTCACCTTCTTTCATGATATAATTGCAACCTATATTTCCCTCAATCTGCTGCATGGCATTTCCATTGGTACGCCGCAGCAGCCAACCACACCAACACCATGGTCCGTACTACGATTAATACAATCACATGGGTCCATCTCGGCGGCCGCGTGCCCCTTTTTCTCTGTTCCATTGCGTACCTGGCTATAGCCGCATACATTGCTGCTAGATGAGACAAGATCTACCGGACGGTTTTCGCCGCAGTACGTGTGGGAGCCAATATATCATGGATTATCTAACCAATGCAGGCGTCCCTGGCAATCATCATCGACGTCCTGGCCCTGGCTCTACTGTTTAGAAAACCATCGTATGTGCCAACACTGATCTTCCTAGATGTCGCGGCCTGTATTCTAGCAGGGATCAGTATCCCGGCGATTGCGCTAAGCGACTACAACTATGCGGACGACCCGAACCCCCACCTGCATGGCTGGCAAAAGGTTGACGTGGTACTCTTTGATCTAAACATTGCAATTATGTATGTTGCTACTAGACCATTTCTTTTAAAATGTGTTAACTTTAATAGATGTGAGAGGGTCTTGTCGATGTTTCTCTGCGGGCTGTCAGGACGTGGTCGTTCGGACTTGGACGGGAGAAGGCCGCAATCAAGAGTTCATGGAGGATAGCTATGCTTCATAGAGGTTGAGTAAAAGCCTTACGCACTGCATGGACGTGACGTTGTGATCTACAGTGTATACCTGTCTAGCATAAATACTAGAATGCATATTCAATCTGGGTAATGACTAGGAGGCCAATGTCCTCCTTCTATTAAATCACGTGGTATATATATATATATATACCAAGACAGTAGGAGCTTGGCACGCTAACGGCCTACACAATCAATTCATTAAGGATCATGATGCCTTTGTTTGAATTGACACCTAGCTATAGTGTTTATATTAAGATTATAAGGGCTGCGACAAAGAGAAGAACCAGTAGCTGGTGATGAGATTCGATACAGGGACATCTGTGTCTTGCTATGTAGTTGAGGGTAGAAAAAGAGGAATGCTGCGGGAGGACAGGACTAGTCCCTCGCAAATTGACATCCCTGTTATGAGCTAGGGACATTCCGGAAAATGCACACAGTTACCTGTAAACTTAGCCTTTTTTGACTCGAGAGCTAAACACTGAACAGGACCCTGGCAGCACCCGCTCACTCAACTCTTACTGGAGGGAGATAACTCAAGAATGCTGGGTATGCGGACAATCACCTCGGAGCTTGCTTAATCTCACACTGTCTCGCTAAATGGCAGTAAGTACTCTGATGCACCAGAGGAAACTAATACTGATTAATATGGCTATGGTTAGACTAGTCACTACCCTGCCAAAGAGTCATATCCGAATGTCATAGATTCTTTACTAGGTGATTCAGGGTCAATCCAGGGCTGGATCAGACTGGATTTTCCGCTTAGCAGCAGTGCCTCCCCTTAGTGTTACCATCTCTAGGATTTGGCATATTAATGAGTATACTAGAGTGGTCACCGACTGCCAGGAATTGTCCTTTCAAACAGCGTCCTATATAGCACTTATATTTACCTGGAAAAAAGTGCGGTAGCAGACAGAACCAAAATGATAGGCTACCCTAGGAGCCCTGGCAGTAAGGGACAAAGGGTAATAAGAGGGAGACAAGCACGCTGGCACAGTATTCCTTTTCCTCCTTGATCTACACTCGAACCTTGCCTCAGTTTGTGGAATAGAATACCCTGACCGTGAGTTGAGGTGACAAACATATTGACAACGGCCAACAATCATAAATTTCATTATGTCTTGTAGTATTTTGTTCAGTTAGCGCAATTCCTGTTGCTACTTGCGAGGCGTTCAATGCAAGGGACGAGTGCTGCCATAATACTAGGTAGCGGTGAAAATGTGTGTGCATTCCCTTGCATGAGCTCTGAGGTATTTCGCAAGCACTGATCCTAGCTGCACAGCTACTGGGGAGGAGGGGGAAGGAAAGGAAAGTAACATAATAACGTATTTAGCAAGGGGTAGGGACGCGGAACGCCTCCAGTTACAATGTCCTTAGATTCAGGATTTTGAAGTTTTATCTGTTTACCAATATTGCTATCTTTTTTCTACTTGCCACGAGACTCAAACTAGCTCAACAGACTGAACAAAATGCTGTCGACAGCCGACTCGCGATCGAATATGGTGGTTGGACCGGGACAGCTTGACGGACTCTCTGCTGCCAATTTGTATTCCTTGCCGCAAGAGCTAAAAGACACCGAAACCGACGCAGATGGAGATGAGAGTAATGGGGGTGATGTTGCTCCTGTTCCCTTCCCCATCGCCATTGTGGGAATGTCGATGAGGCTTCCGGGAGGCGTCAATTGCGAGAAGGAGTTTTGGGAGTTCTTGGTAGACAAACGAGACGGTCTGTGCAAAGTCCCTGACAATAGATATAACATCGACGCCTTTTACAAGGAGTCCACATCTGGTGCCATTCGGACACAACATGGATATTTTCTCCAGCAGGATATAGCTCATTTCGATGCTGCTTTCTTTGGAACGAGCAAGGTCGAAGCTGCCAGGATGGATCCCCAACAGCGAATGTTGATGGAGGTTGTCTGGGAGTGCATGGAGAACGGAGGTCAGACGCAATGGCGTGGGAAAAACATCGGATTCTATGTCGGCGTCTTTGGAGAGGACTGGTTGGATCTGTTGAGCAAAGACACCCAGGCTAACGATCGATACCGGGTCATTGGAGCTGGGGATTTTGCTTTATCAAATCGGATATCATATGAATATGACCTGCGGGGCCCCAGCATGACAATCCGAACAGGATGCTCCTCCTCGTTAGTCGGCTTGCATGAGGCCTGCCAGGCTCTGTATTCGGGCGAATGCGCTTCTGCCTTGGTTGCTGGAACTAACTTGATAATCACACCGACTATGACCACCTCTATGTCTGACAATATGGTCATCTCGAAGAGTGGAATCTGCAGGACATTTGATGCCGCCGCAGATGGCTACGGCAGGGGGGAGGCCGTGAATGCAATCTACATCAAACCACTGGATGCCGCCTTGAGAGATGGAGACCCAGTTCGAGCGGTCATTCGGTCAACTGCTGTCAACTGTGATGGTAAAACGCCTAGTATAACCACACCAGGCTCACAGGCGCAAGAGCGCCTGATCCGGCGAGCATACCAGAGAGCACAAATTACGGAGGTATTCAAAACAGGCTTTTTTGAGTGTCATGGCACAGGGACGGTTGTCGGGGATACGGCAGAGACGTCTGTCGTGGCAAAAGTCTTTGGAGACCATGGTATACACATTGGTGCCGTATGTTGAATCCTATCATTCCCTAGGGCATAACAAGCTAAGTAGAGCCAGGTGAAAGCGAACGTCGGTCATTCGGAAGGTGCTTCGGGGATTACAAGCATCATCAAATGTGTTTTGTCATTGGAGAAAAAGACCATTCTACCGAATGTCTTTTTCAAGGATCCAAATCCTAGGAGTATGTCCAGCACAATATCTCGTTCTTTTCCAAAGTTGACACTCGCATTTGCACTTTAGTACCGTTTGAGCAAGCAAAGTTACAGGTTCCCACCAAGGCCATGCCGTGGCCCATGGATCGATGTCAACGAGTTAGTGTCAATTCATTTGGAGTCGGCGGTACCAATGCCCATGTATGTCTCCTCTTCGACATAATTGTTGAGTAACGGCCCTGTTAGCTGACCACCTAAGCTCATCATGGATTCCGCGTCGACAGTATGCGGAGAAGGATCGTCTGACAAGGTGTCAGACAAATGCTCTTCTCATTTGTTGCTTGTTTCAGCCAAATCACCCAAGTCACTAGATGGGAATATCGAGGCCCTCAAAGCTTACATCGATACCAGTTCGGTTTGCCCAAGTGACCTCGCATATACCTTGGCTTTGAAAAGAGAGCACATGGTTCACAGAGCATTCGCAATCCTTGATTACAACGGCCAGATTTCGTCTTTTGAGAAATCGAAGTCTGTGTGTCCACAGGTCACCTTTGTATTCACCGGCCAGGGCGCGCAATGGCCAGGGATGGGAAGAGAGCTGTTCCTTGAGAGCGAGAAATTCCGGGACAACATCAGAATGCTGGATCGCGTCCTGCAGTCGCTAGAAAGCCCACCAAAGTGGACCATTGAAGGTGGGGTGATCGTGACGTCCATCTTCCTATCTTTATTAACATATGTTTTTAGGGGAGCTTCTTCAGTGCGATGACCCGGACAGGCTCAAAGAAGCTGATGTGTCACAATCTTTATGTGCTGCCGTTCAGATAGGTGTTGTGAACATCCTCCGTGAATGGGGAGTCAAACCTTCGTCGGTGATCGGACACTCCAGTGGTGAGATAGCTGCGGCATATGCTTCCGGCGCAATACCCCCAGAGGTAGCCATAAGCATCGCATATCTGCGGGGCCGCACTATTAGGTCGTCCAGATCGAATGGTGCCATGGCTGCTGTTGGATTAGGACGTGAGCAGATCAAACCTTACCTGAGGGAGGGCGTTGTGATAGCATGCGAGAACAGCCCACAAAATGTCACTATTTCTGGGGATCAGAAAGCTATAAACGAGGTGGTTGAGGAAATCCAGGCCAACGACGAGAGCTTCTGCAGGCTTCTGGCGGTAAATGTTGCCTACCACTCTCCCCATATGAAGGATCTCGGGGAGTCGTTCGAGAAGCATCTGAGTCCGCGCATGTCGTACAACAAGTCCATGGTCCCTCTCATCTCCACGGTCACTGGGGAAGTGATTAGTGAGCCAGACCGCTTAAATGCCAGATACTGGAGACACAATTTGGAATCTCCTGTGCTTTTCAGCAGTGCAGTCCGAACATTGACGGATGCTGACAAGGAAGAAAGACTCTTTCTTGAAATTGGGCCCCATAGTGCACTCTCCAGCCCTCTACGCCAGATCTTCTCGGAAGCAGACAATAAACGGCTATATTACGTACCGACCCTGGTGCGACGAGAAGATCAATGGAGGTGTATGTTAGCTACAGCAGGTCAATTGTACATCCATGGCACTGCCCTCAATTTGGCTGGCCCGCTTGTTGGCAGTGGAAAAACATTGACCAATCTACCCCCTTATTCCTGGGAATATAATGAGCGCTTTTGGAACGAGACGCGGTTAGCCCGAGACTGGAGATTGCGAGAACATTCGCACCATGAGCTGCTCGGGTCTCGCGCCCTCGAGTCCACCGACATCGAGCCGATGTGGAGGAACATCCTGAAGCTGGATAATGTAATATGGCTTCTGGATCATAGGCTGAGTGGTGAGGTCGTGTTCCCATGCGCCGGGTACGTGGCTATGGTTGGTGAGGCCATCCGACAAATATCAGGATCCAGTGACTATTCTATCCGAAACATGTTCATCCGGACTGCCCTGGTTTTAAACCACGAAGAACATGACGGGGTAGAAATCATCACAAGCCTTAGGCCAGCAAGGCTAGCAGACAATGTGGATTCAGTATGGTATGAGTTTACCATCACAGCCCATCAAGACGGCGTTTGGAGCAAACACTGTATCGGACAGGTCTGTGCTGGCCAGGATCGGCAACATGTCCCTATCCAACTCAGCCCGCATAGCCGCCACGTTCAATCGGACAAATGGTATGAAGCCTTGGAGGCTAAAGGGCTGGAGTACGGGTCCCGATTCCGGGGGCTCGACTCCATCACTGCGAGTCCGTCCAGCCCGCATGCTGCAGCCGTACTGCATCCTATTGAAGAGCACTGCGATAGTCACTACGCCCTTCACCCTATTCTCATTGATCAATGCTTGCAGCTCCTCAGTGTGGCAGCTACGAATGGCCTTGCTCGTCGGATGACCAGGCTTTGCATACCAACGGCGATAAGCAGCCTCTATATCGCTGATGGCCAAGGAGAGATGTCGGTCGGTGTTTCCTGCGACAATCGTGTGGGGGCCACCATGCGCGGTAATGCGCTTTTGGTTGCGGATGGCCGCACCTTACTGTCTCTGCAAGACGGCGTTTTCTTCAGTATTTCAGATGCTGCCCTGCGAGAAGACGCGCCGCCGCTGGCGTCTACGCTTCACTGGAATCGCCATATTGATTTTGTTACCCCCGAAAAGCTTTTACCACCATTCCCGAAGAACGTTTACGATAGGGAACAGACCGGCAGGTTCGCCAGTTTGGTGGTCGTTGAGACGTATCATCGAACCAGGTCGGCAGCTCCTGCCAAAGAGCACTTGAGACGGTATCATCAATGGATCCAATCGCAGTACGAGATGATCCGTGACGATGCCCGCGATCTGCTGCCAGAGTTGCGAGACAAGCATGCTGCCGATCCTGCCACCCGGTGGCCTGAAATCCAACGCATCCTGGACACGGAGCAAAGTCCTGTGCTAAGAAGTGCCTTCGTACTCGCTGAAAGGGTCTTGCGTCATATCCACGAAATCCTGGATGATCGATGCAGCCCCATTGAACTTCTGATGGAAGACGACGGTCTAGAGAAACTGTACAAGGAGCTCTCCGCTGTGACGCATTGGGACGCATTCCTCTCTTTACTCGGCCACTCCAACCCCAGCCTCCGTATCTTGGAAATTGGTGGAGGTACTGGAGGTGCCACGCGGTCGGCGTTAAACTCACTGACTTCTCCTGGCAAGGGCCGTATGTATACTACATACACTTTTACGGATCTCTCAGTAGGTTTCGTTTCCAAGGCCAAGGAAAAATTCGCCGAGTTTAGGGGCATGGAATATACAACGCTCGACATTTCCCAAGACCCAGAATCCCAAGGGTTCACGCCTGGAGCGTATGATTTGATCATTGCTGCTAACGTGCTCCATGCAACCCCGCGGATTTCTGAGACCCTCCGCAATGTGCGCAAACTTCTCTCACCAACTGGCCGGCTGCTATTGCAGGAACTATGTCCTTCACACTCCCTCATTGGCTACACCATGGGTATCCTGCCGGGCTGGTGGATCGCAGAAGACGGCAGGGATGTGCCTTACATTAATCCCGACAAATGGCACGACGAACTCGTACAGGCGGGCTTCACCGGTGCTGATGTGGTGCGCCTGGACAATGAGGCCCCTTACCAGCACAATGCCCACATCATAGCGAGGCCTTCTCCTCGTCTGCCCATCAAGGGTGAAATCGGTCTTTTGCATCAAGGCGAAGTCACCTGTTGGGCTCAGCGGCTTGGACGACTTCTGTCGTCGAGGGGATACGTGGTGAAGTGGGTCACCTTGGATGAATCCCCCACCGTGTCAGATTTTATCTCTCTGGTAGATTTGGAGAAACCCTTCTTCGACAATCTTTCCGCTGCCAAACTCCAGCAATTCCAGCGGTTTGCCTCGCATCTCACCACCGGCCGCTCACTCTGGCTTATGCGAGCGATTCAATTAGTTGATACGGATCCTGACCCGGCACGCGCACTTACTTTGGGGGTCATGCGCACCGTTCGACATTCCCTTGCACGAACGATATCCACGGTGGAGATCGACCAGCTGGACGACGCAGCGATACATCGTGTTATTGAGATATTCGAGAAATTCAAGACATACGACGATACTCAGTACCCTCCGCCCGATTATGAGTATGTTCTGAAAGATAACAATGTCTATGTGGGTCGTTTCCAGTGGTCCCCCCTGGACGGGGTGATGACCTCTGCCCCCGCAACTGGATCTCGGGTTCTAGACATTGGGTCCCACGGAATGCTAGACACCTTAAGATGGAGCTTGAGCGGGCGAGGCCCTATGATGGCGGAGGACGACGTTGAGGTCGATGTTACATGCGTAGGATTGAATTTCAGAGTACGTGGGTCCAACCTGGGCTTCGGTTTCCTCTTTCATTCCACTTGCTGGATACTGTGACTTACAGGAAAGCTTATAGGATATCATGGTCTCAATGGGGCTGATGGGAGATACAAGCAAAATGGGGTTGGAGGGCAGTGGAATTGTACGGGCAGTTGGGCGTTCAGTGACCACTCTTCAGGCCGGTGATCGAGTCCTGTTTGCTGGCAAAGGCATGATGGCTACACGGAAGGTAATGCCCGCGGGTAACTGCATAAAAATACCAAGTGACCTTTCCCTGGAGGATGCCGCAGCAGGACCGTGTGTGTTCACGACGGTCATCTATTCGCTCATGTATGTTGGGCAGCTCCGGAAAGGACAATCTGTGCTCATTCATAGCGCCTGCGGAGGCGTCGGACTAGCTGCCATTCAGGTCTGCCAGATGATCGGCGCTGAGATCTTTGCAACAGTCGGAAGCGATGAGAAAAAGAAACACCTGATTGACAACCTCCAGATCCCCGAGGACCATGTCTTTGACTCGCGGAGCGCCTCCTTCGAGGAAAATGTGATGAGGATGACAGACAACAAGGGAGTTGATATAGTCTTGAATTCCCTATCGGGGGAGTTATTGCATGCATCCTGGAGATGCGTCGCACCATTTGGAAGGATGATTGAGCTTGGTAAACGGGATTTTCTAGGCCATGGCAAGTTGGACATGGACCTTTTTGAGGGAAATCGCACCTTCACTGGCGTCGATCTGTCTCAAATTGCCGACAAGTCACCCGAGATGTTCCGTGATATGATAGACGACTGTCTTGATTTCTTCAAGGAAGGAAAGCTCAAGCCAATCCGTCCCGTGACTACCTATGAGGCAACTGATATTGTGAAAGCCTTTAGGCTGATGCAAAGCGGAAAACATATGGGGAAAATCGTAATTCGTATGCCAGAGGATGCTTCCGCCCTATCAGTCTCCCGAGTACACGAGAAAGGGAACTTGTTTCGCGACGATGCGTCCTACCTGCTTATTGGTGGGTTTGGAGGCATTGGTCGAGCCGTCGCCACATGGATGGTTGAGAGAGGAGCGCGGCATTTGGTCATACTGTCCCGATCCGGCGAGGAGTCGCCCCGAAATCAGGCATTCATTGAGGATTTGAAAAGCCAAGGTGGCTGCCACGTCGTCAGTGTTACTGGAAGTGTCGCGAAGCTGATCGACACGCAAAGAGCGGTATCGGCAGCGACGAAACCAATTGCCGGCGTCATACAGATGTCAATGGTGTTAAGGGTGCGTATCGGTGGGGCCCTGCTCTCGTGATAGCTGCTGATGACGCTGACGTGTATTTCTTGCTCTCCAGGATGCAAATTTCGAAGATATGACCATCGAGCAGTGGAACGAGGTCCTCGCGCCAAAGGTCCAGGGCACCTGGAACCTCCATCGCGCACTTGATGGCCGAGAATTGGACTTTTTTGTCCTATTTAGTTCACTTACGGGCATTATTGGCTTTACAGGGCAAATGAACTATGCAGCAAGCAATTCTTTCCTTGATGCTTTCATGCAATATCGTCACTCACAACGCCTAGTTGCCAGTGTGCTTGACATAGGCTTTATGGGAGACATAGGGTATCTCCCTGAGAACTCCCCCAAAACCCTCGATTATGCCCGGTCAGCGTCGTCACAGATTATCGGCGCGCAGGATCTGCTTCATGCCCTAGAGCTCTCTATACTTTCGGGACCGCTCAAGGGCCCATCTCAGCTTTTCCTCGGGATGGGCACCTCCAAGCCGCTCTCGGAATGCGCAACGGAGCCATCATGGGCGCAGGATGCTCGCCTACTGGCGTGGCGGAACGTTTTGACAGCCACAGAGGGCCAAGCAAACGCCAGAAGTGATCAACTCAGGCGATTACTAGAAGATGTTAAGCGTGACCCATCCATCCTATACAAGCCAGACACAGAGGACAAGCTTACCTATGAACTTGGGAAGATGATCGCGGAACACCTGTCGTACTCTGAAGATTTGGAGCTAGAGGAGCTCGCGAATATTGCAATTGACTCTCTGATGAGCATTGAAATCAGGACTTGGTTGAGACGGTACGCCGGGCTCGAGGTATCGCTGGTGGAAATCTCCAAGGCCGGCACAGTCAGTGGACTGAGTAAAATTACTCTAAAGAAGCTCCGTGAAAAACACCAGTCAGGCGAGCTGGAGACCGCAAATGCCAAAGATGTGGCATGGGAGTCCGGCGAGCCAGATGAATTGAAACTCTGCCTGCAGGATAGCGAGCTGGGCAAGGACATCGAGCCACTCTCAACTCAAGTCGCGGATTGGTATGCTGACGATGAAGGGCGTGTCTTCATGACTGGGGCCACAGGATATTTGGGAGCATTCTTTTTAGCTCTACTGTCTGGTTTACCTCAGGTCAAGGAAGTCGCTTGTCTTGTTAGAGCCAAGGACGTGGTTTCCGGAGTATCTCGAATCAAAGAAGCTCTGGCTGGATATGGGCTTCCCTTCGACTTTGAACAGAAGCTTCGTGTCGTTCCAGGAGACATCGATAGCGCCACGCTAGGGCTCAGGACAGAGGAATTCGACGAACTCGCTCAGTGGTCCAGTGTTATCTTTCATTTTGCGTCCCTCGCCAATTATACACTCCCCTATTCCTCTCACCGAGAAGCAAACGTGCTCGGTCTGGTCAACGTGCTCCGCTTTGCTAACACTGGACGCCCTAAACCGCTTCATTATGTGTCCAGTATATCTGCCTGCGGAGCAGCGGGACATCTCTCAGGGCAGGTCATTCCCGAGGACCAGAGGCCCCTGTTTGACCTCGACATAGTCAAAGAGCACATTGGCTACACCCAAAGCAAAGTCGTGGCTGAGCAGATAGCGTGGAATGCCATCTCCAATGGTCTCCCGCTGACCATATACAGGCCCGGATTAGTCACGGGGCACAGCGTCACCGGGGCTCAGAAACCGCAGGACGCTCTTAACCGTCTGATAGCCAACTGTCTTCGCATCGGCAGCTATCCTGTTCCTCCACATGGCCGAAACCAGTGCATTCCCGTTGACTTTGTCTGCTCCTCCATGCTGCGGATTTCTCTGTCTAATGAAAACCTCTGCCACGCCTATAACCTTGTACGGCCTGACCAGGCACAAAGCGTTACGTGGGAAGAGACATTTGAGATCCTCAACGAGAATTGTACCGTGCCGTTACGGCGCGTGTCTCCATCGCAGTGGATCGACATCTTTGCCGAACATGGCGATGAGAGGGAAAAGATGGGGGTTTCCATACTGAAAGAGAGACTGGACGAAAACTCGGTCTGGTGGGCTCTCGACAAGGGCACCATGGCTCTTTTTGAGGCAAGCAACATGCGCCAAGCGCTCTCGCAATTCCCAGAAGTTCTCGAAGTGCCTTCCGTGGCCGACCTATTCAAAACCTACTTGCCTGTATGGAGGAATCAAAAGTAGGGGACCGGTGGTGGATACAACGTGTATACATCCCACGGCGCAGTATATGCAGGCTGGGCAATGTCAGGGATATCTCCAAATTGGCATATGTTGCATCTGGTGTTTCACGGCATGTAATGGAGATATAACAACGGTGTCATGCTTTCCGTACCTAGCTGGCCAAGGAGCCTGTATACATTGTTGTGAATTTACAGCAACTCTTCTACTGTATTGAGATAATTAAATTCCAGTTTCAGAGACACCCTGTCATCTCATTAGGACAGCAGGCTTGTTCAAGCGCAATGCTTCTCGCTTGTTCCTAGGTACATTGCATTAAGTTCCACTTGCTCATCCAGGATCCTAGCACAAATCAATTCTTGTCACAGGTAGACGCATAGTCATCCAGCTCTTGAGGGATGACATTCTCCCAAAGCTCCGGCCCCTTGAGATACGCATTCACCTTGTCGCACATGTCCTTGGTGATAAACGCTGAGAGTTGTTCCATCTCGCCCAGAACTACAGGCATCATGTTCTCTTTCAAGCAACCCCCAACAGCCTGCATTGCCTTCTGATCCTGGCATAGATCAGCCTTCCCTCCGGCCGCAGCACACTGGTTTTCGAGCTTTGTGGTGATGTCTCCGGAGATGCTGTCCGCAATAATGGAAAAGCCGGACAGACCCATTTCATCCATACTGCTCGTGACGATCTGGCTGACGACTTTGCCGTTGACCCATTTTTCAAACTGAGATGTCGTCACAGTGCATCCTTTCTTGCAGACGTGTTCATCAAACGCCTGCAAGGTGGTGTCGAGTTTGCCGGGGATGAAATCTGAGATGGAGGTGCAGCTTGACGGAAGCGTACAGAGGACGGGTGCAACGAGAGTAAGAAGGCTGCATGATGATAGAGCTGCAGCTGTAAGATGCATCTTGAGTGTTTTAACCCACAGATTGGACACTGCCTCGCAGACGAAAGACGAGTCCTTCCCAGTGCTGTCAACATTCACTACGGTTGACGATATGTATACTACCTTAAGCATTATGTCATATGTCTTGCCCATACGAAGCCCCTTTATCCAGCTAGGAGAATGCCACGGCAATCCGCCCCTTGCGTACTATGGACCGCGCATAAATGCTTGAATGTGGCAGGTCAGGTTTCGAGCACATAGCCTCATAAACAGGTATCAGAATTCCATTCCATACGGGAAATTTTTCACCCTGACTGCGGGACCATGCATGCCTATCAGTGATCTACCATGTTTATCATGCTGTCCTTCATACTTGCAATCCACCTAAAAAGGTATTAGGTAGTTGCTATGGCGGCGACCTGACATTCCGGGTATACTCTCCAGTATGCGCCATAACGGCTCACTCGCGCACCATGTTTCCGGCCAGCGTGATAGGTAGGAATGTGCCGTTCCTGTGCTGCCAGACCCGTTGCAGCTATAAATACATGCAACAAATACCTTTCCAAGACATCCTCAACCATACTACACTCTCTACACTCCTGATTCCAAATCAATCTCCAGTCTTGTCTCAGATACAATGCTCTTCTCCCGCGTGACCCCAGCCCTGATCTGCGCCCTCGCGACTTCCGCCCTGGGTGCAGTAAACACTAAGCAGACAGTCGACGGCCTGAATGCCCTCCAACAGAAAGCCATCGAGGCCCGCAAGGGCATTGAGGGATGGAACGGCGGCCTTATGGGCCTCATCCCCGTCGCCAGCAAGATCCAAACTCTGCAGACTTCTGCTGCCAACACACGCCGGAGCATCGATGAGTCCGACGCCTTTAACAATGAAGACCTAGATGCTGTTGACGCAGCCTATTGGCAATTGCAGCCAGAGATTGTGGGGGCCCTGAATGCAGCGCAGCAGAAGGTAAGTCATTCCCCTCCGCATAAGTCTGCAGTGGTGCTGACCCTGGATCCAGGCGCCGGCGTTCAAGGATGCGGGAGTGGCCTTCTTGGCGAGGGCTATGATAGATGATCTCAAGACTGAGAAGGACAAATTCGAGACCTCAATGCAGGGAAAGGTGCCTGCTGAGAATTACCGCAACGCTGAGCCCAGTGTTGCCGAGGTCAATGCTGCCTTTGAAAATGCTCGCAAGGCGCTCGCTGCTTAAGTGGCTGAGCACTGTGCCTGAGCACCGTGCCTGTGGAGCACAGAGATGCTGGCTAGGGGACACTTACTGCGTTAATAATCTGGAAGTTATGTTGCAATCTAATTGAGAATTACTTGTTTCATCAGACTTGAATTGTAGACCTTATGAGGTATTGGGGGCTCCCTCTCCATGCTCTGCCGGTATAGGTAACTAGTAGCTCTAAGGAACGAAAGCGGAAACTCCTCATGACCAAGTTCCTGGTGGGCTGTCCTGAAGGCGACAGGTAAGTCATGCCACATGTACTACTGCGGAGAATGTAGAAAGTTGAAGCATGATACTCAGCTGAAGCATGCTACCTGAGCTATACTTAATGCATACTTGGCATACAAGGCTTCGCATTCTCAGGTTGGCACTCTTGAAATTTGGAAATGAATTCATCCCTTTGCATAGAATGGGGCTTTCCATGCACATAACTGTGGACTTGGTAGAACCCGATATGCATGTAATATCTTTCTTCCTAACCTAACGTCTGTCATCTTGCTGAAGCTTAACTATAATTATAAAGTATCTGATATTATAGGCTATGTGGTTAGCAAACTATGAAAATAGATGCAATAGTGGTAATAGGTATGGGGGCATCGCTCGTAGATATGATAAACAATGATGAGGATTTTTATGTAGAGATTTTAATAACCACTTAGTCTACCTTTTGTTCTCTCTCTCTTTTTTTCCCCCCTTATACGTCTTCCCTTGGTGAGCGGAGGCGGGAGAAGGTATATATATCACATGGGCCCTTGCTTTGCCTTAAAAGCAAAACAAAGGAGCTCAGCCAGGATAGGCCCTTATATTTATGGAGTGTTCTATCACCTATGCTGGTAATGCTTAAGTAGCAGCGCATTCTCGGCTTGCAATAGTTATAACTATTTGGAGAGGCTCGGGCCTAGGGGATGATGATGACAGTGCTCTGTCAGGGTTTAGCAGCTTTCCGGAACGGGGTCAAGTCTCTAACAGACGGAGAGTCAATATCGAATGAAGGGCATCGGAAGGGTGCAATATAGGACGGTGTTTAAAGGACGCAAGTCAGCCAAACTAAACGGGACTACTGTACAGGTACCATGGAAAATGCATACAGGTCTGCCGTCCTGGTGAATCATTGCCTCTCCGTTGTATTCTTGTAATCTAGCTCCAAGATTCACCATCACTAAACACTGGCTCCACCCGCCAGACTGGCGCATGCTGTTCAAGCTTGAGACATACAAAAACCAAGTTCCGCAACTGGTTGCCTCACAAGCTGAACTTATCGGACGAATACTGCCACCTCGATCTAAGTTACTCACAGAGGGCAAAGTCGCGGGCGTGCACGCTGTCGGAACGAGAAAGGAGAGCGCACAACGCAGCCCGAAGCTCAGCGAGACGCTGCGCGGAAGTGGTGGGGGTGGGGAGCTTTGCCGAAGAAGGTACAGTGTGTGTCGCCACATTAGTGTGGTGGGCAGGAGTTGCAGACGATGTTACAGCCCGAGTGGTTGGCGTAGGAACTGCAGTCGATGTCACAGCCGGAGGGGTTGTGGTTGCAGCTGGCTCTGTAGCCCAGGTAGAAGATGGCCGAGGGGTTGCTTGGCGGGTGGAGGGAGTGGAAGCCGAGGGGTTGGAAGCACTCCGAACWCGGGAAGAGGACGAGSTGGAAGAATCAGAAGAACCGGTAGAAGATGGCCGAGGGGTTGCTTGGCGGGTGGAGGGAGTGGAAGCCGAGGGGTTGGAAGCACTCCGAACTCGGGAAGAGGACGAGCTGGAAGAATCAGAAGAACCGGCAGAACCAATCTTCGTTGTGATAGGTGCCTGCTCAACATAAATGCCAGACCAGAACCAGTCTTCCGCTGCGTCGTTGGAGGGGCCCCCGTTGGGCAGGCGCAGCTGGCCGACGTGCCAGTCCGCCGAGTTGGTAGAGGTAGATGCGCTGACGGGCGAGACAACCTCGGTCAAGGGATCGGACCCATTAGAAGCCCAGAGACCGACCTTTTGCGAGGTAAAGTCGATATCGTAGGCGAAGTTGTACCAATTGCCTGGCTCCAGCTGGACCGACCAGTGTGTTGTGCCACCGGCATTCCAGCGCAGGGTGTTGTCGGATGTGCCGGATGTGCCATACTTGAGCTCAGTGAAGTGGCTCTCGAAGAACGCGATCTGGTGTTCGAAGGAGGCGTCGGGGGCATTTGTTGTCTTCGTGGACAGGGAGAAGTGATAGTATAGATGGCCCGAGCCAAGATTGGCGGCGGTCTGGGGGATAAGTTCAGACCGCTCCATATTCTGTTTATTCCAGAAGGAGGTTCCATCCTTTTTTTCTATTAGTCCTTCTTCCACAAGCACACGAATGAATGACATACAATGGTGATTCGGACACCCTGGGCGTCGCTAGTGTCGGCCGGGTTCTTGAAGTCGGGGGACAGACCCAGATACTCGGTCGTCTTGCCACTGCCGTGGATGTACCATTGCCACGGTTCAATTTGGTTGGACCAGGACCCTATATCATCAATCAGAGTTTCAGATTAGAGGCAATGAGGAGATAAATACATTTGTCAAAGTCCTCAACGGTGGTAGAAGAATTGAAGATGCCGCTCCATAGCACGGTTCCAGCCAGCGATGAAGCGGGGAAAGCAAGAAGAGAAACGAATGACCTCATAGTGGGAGAAATGCAGTAAGGAATGTAAGAAAACAAAAAGGGTGGCCAGCACAGTTGGTTGAACAAGTAAACTGTGGGCTGTAGCGCCTTAAAGTACTTTAAAAAGGTGAAATGATTAAGGGTGGAAGCGTGTTAGGGTTAGATTGGCGGGCGAAATGCTGAAACATCTCATCTCCTCACTGGTAGTTAAGCTTGTTTCACTTTGATCAACAGGTCTCGGTCTAAAGCTTGATAGATTGACACTATTTAAACGCCTTAGATACCTACACTCTGACAGCCTGCCCCATGGGTGGGGCGCTTCCTGATTATCCTGCAATACCATTATTTCCGCCCATCACAGTCTGAGTAGCTTGAGGGAAGACGTTGGCCCACTGCAATATGCCCCCTACAGCTCGCGTCTAATCTCTTCCGAATGATATCATGCTGTTCTTTAATTACTTGAAGCACAGTTAATGTCACTACTAGTTGTGTTCAAGATGTTAATGGGTGTCTAGGGTTTCTAGACTGAGTTTAGCCTCTTCTCCGGTAAATTACTCTACATCGAACTCTACCAGGACTTATTGGACGGACCACACAGATCTCTATCAACCAAACGCCATTCATTTCTTCAGTTCGTTTGCGCAGAATCATCGGCGGATGGCCTTCACAATCACAGTATTGTTTCTGGCCCTCTCCCTACTTACCACCGCGCTTCTTTCTCCCGGTCCTCGATGAACGCTTTCATTCACTCCCCATTCTGTCGAACGGGACTGAGCAGTGTCTTCTCGGACAGGCTCTTTCAGTGCTTCGTGACTGCGACAACGGCAGACAGAAAAGTCCTGGAGAGAAGTCCATCTTTGGTCATACTACAGCTTACTCTGGACAAACACTACTTGCTGCGGATCACACAGAATATTACCAAGAGAATGCCAACGATGTATTTCTCAGGATGATAAGGTATACTCCTGGTATGCTAGGAAATACGCGCAGGTGTTGGAGTCAGCCTAGTGTTTAGGCCGTACTAGTGATGCAAGTATGCTGCGCCGCAGAATCACTCCTTCCCATCACGGTGATAAAATCTGACTGCTGCGCTGGGAAGTAGGCGGACATTACTGACAACCATACCTACTACTTACTAAGTGGCTCAATCATCGACCGGGAATTGGAAAAGTTGAAGCAATCATTGCTGGGAAAACTTGACGAGCTGACCGCATACACGAAGCGAGGTCACCCATTGCCTGTGGGCAAACGCTTTCTCTCCCAGATTCAAAAGGCCAGGACCAACCGTCAGCTAGAGTCACTAAGATATAAGCTCCTATTCCGTGAATTCGAAGAAAAAGAGGAAAGGTTCTATACGGTGAAAGGCCTCGAGCAAGCCATATCGGCGATGGAAACTTCCCGCGATGAATTTGCAGCCGCCGAGATCATCGACCAGATGGAAGCGTATTATGAGGTGAGAAAGTCATCTTTTGCTCAAGCTACGACTACATCAAGCCTAACAAATTGTCCAGACAGCAATTGTGACGTTTGTCGACAATGTCGCAACTCTAGGCATCGAAAATTGTCTTCTTGACCCTCTGCAACATATATTTACCAGCCAGGTTGTCAATAATATGGATGATGACCAGATCCGAGAACTTTCCATGGAACAGCCTTATATACATGAAGAACGACTACGGTTAAGCCGCGAGCTCGACAAATTGCAAGCTGGCCTACGGCCTCTCAGCGTCTTGAACACTCAGAAGCCGTCACTGAGTAATCCACCACTATTGGGCAAGCTCCAGAGTCCTTGCATGAAGAATTACATTATAACCTGACCTCCCCTGTAGTGAAAAGACCAGTTGCAGGACTATCCGACAGTCCTGGTTCTTCCCTTGAAAAAAGCCGTCGAGGACCAACAATAGCCTCAATGGAAACACCTTCACTGTAACCGAGTCGACCGCGGCCTTTCAGTCTTCCGGACGTAGGTCTATGTGCCTTTTCCCAAAACAGGATTTTGCTAATTCGGGTGAAAGCTGCCAAAGCTGCGGAACCAAGACCACCGTCCGTACTTGATTCAGCCCAGGCTTTGCCGGTGGCTTCTGGGGCTCTATCTAATACAGGCCTATCGGAACAAAAACTTGTTTCAGGTGGCTTTGGTACATCCTCATCTGAACACAAGCCTGTTCCTAGCCTTTTTGGTGCAGCCCTACATGAGCAGAAAACTATCTCTGGGGGATTTGGTACAGGCTCATCAGAACACAAGGCTACTTCTGGGGGCTTTGGTGGGGGGTTTTGGAACAGGCCTGTCTAAACAGAAAACTGTTTCTGGTGGCTTTGGTACAGGCACATCTACGAGCAACAGCACGAAACCTATGACAGGCACCAGTACCGGTACCTCAACTACCGTCCAGCAATCTTATAGGTTCAGCACTAGCTATTTATGTCTTTTCCCTTCAACAAAACGTTAGTATTCTTCTAGGAATAGTCACTATTACATACCTTTTAACATACTTACCTCTCCATCCCACACTACACTCCTGAAGCCTGGGCCTTCACTAACGGCGCTCTTGCCACTGTTGATCACATAATAGGCTTCATTGGCCGCCATTTCTTCCATGAGATTATTATCTATCATGATGTGCACTACCTTTTCAGCCGGAACACCACCTACAAGGCTGAGAGGGCGACATTTGTCATTCAACCACTGCTTAGGGCACCGTACCATGAGGAGAAGGACGAAAGTGTCCTTAGTTCCTTTCTAAGGGGGTTCGGACGGCTTAAATCACACCGTCTCCCACGAGATGATGTACCATTGCCTAAATTCTCCACGATTTATAAAACGTCGACCTATTCTCAGCACGGGAAGCAGAAGAAGATAGGAAACTCGTCATTAATAGACATTCCCAATCACGTTCTTTGTTGCTTTCACTTCCTCGAACTAGTTCTTCGATGCTTATAGACGGCCCACAAGTGTTCTCTCCTCCGATCATTTTTAGTGCTTGCCATTACCGCGCCTCTAAGACTCTACTATGTCAATGAGGTCAGCACATAACCAGTCCTAAGGTCAGTTTAACCTATTGATGATGATATCAGAGATCTTCTCTGCCAACATGTCTACCAGCCATTAGCCAATCCCCATCAACTATCAGTAGTATTGGAACTTACAAACGGTTGACTGAGGGTGGCCCGGTGGCAGGATAGGAAAGGCACTGGCATCCACAACACGCAGTCCCTCGACACCATAGACCCGTGCTTGGTTATCAACCACAGCCATGTCGTCGTCAGCTGTGCCCATCTTACAAGTACAGGAAGCATGCCAGAGAGTCATCACATTGTCTCTGATGTAATCCAGGATCTCTTCGTCGGTTTGGACGTGTTTTCCAGGATTATACTCATCCCCGATCACTATGGGTGCCATAGCCCTGCTCTGGAATGCCTCTCGGATACGCTTGAACACAGCTACAGCAAGCTCCTGGTCAGACTTGGTAGCGAGCCAGTTGGGGTTAATCACGGGAAGATCATCTGGATCAGCTGATCTCAGCGTTACGGTCCCCCTTGAAGTAGGGGAAACGAGGGCACCGACAATTGAGGCATATTGATATCCGTCTTGGGGTTGGTCGGCCACGACGTTAGAGACATTACCAATGTACCCTGCAGCGGAGATGTACTATTACAAGCGAGGTCAGTAATTTTTTGCACACTTAGATTCGGTGCTGTCAGTAACATACCTCAGCCTCAGGCCAGTCACTTGGAAACTTAGCCAATTTATCCTGCGTTTGGCTCGTGAATTTGGACCGCAGACTGTTCGGAATCTTTTCCCAAGCCATGTAATCCGCCACTGGGCTAGTCAACGGTCCCTCTTTCGAGTCAAGGTAACCCCCAACCAGCTCCAGGAGGGCTGGAGCTATCTTAGCGAAGGTGTCTACTGTGACCCTGTATGTCGGCGCGAAGAATAGGTGATCCCACATGTTCTGTCCAACTCCGGGTCTCTCAGCGAGCAGATCAATATTATGTTGCTGAAGAATATCCTTTGGCCCTATCCCGGACAGCATCAGCAGCTGCGGGGTTTGAAAGGCGCCTGCAGAGATAATTACTTCTTTTCTTGCGCTCAGAGTAAACGTGTTACCATCAGGGCCCTTGACTTGGACGCCTGTTGCCTTTTTATCCCCGTCGAAAAGGACCTTCCTAGCGGAAGAATTTGAGTATGTAGTTAGGGTAGGGGCGTTGATAGTTGCCAGGAACGAGGCCTGAGAACTGCTCCGAGTCTGGTCAGTCGCATTGATAGTGGTGGCGCAGTACTGAGCTCCCATCAAAGAGCCCACATTGAAATCCTCTATTTCGTTTATTCCTATCGCCTCCATTCCGCGTTTCATCCAGGTTGAAAAGGGCATGGCGTAATTCGGGTAGGATACCTGGAGTGGGCCAGCGTCGGGTTCATACGCGCTGGCGTCAAAGCCCGCTGTTGCGTTCGCAAACCGAGTTTTTGTGTTTGGAGGGGTAAATTGTACGCTTTTCTTGTAGTAAGGCAGGACCTCATCAAATGTGTAGCTGCTATCGTTGACTGCGGTCGCCCAAACCTCCATCGAGTCGCGTGTCGGTCTGCTACCAATCAGCTTATTTTTGCTTGCCAATCTTAGCCAACTCGAGCTCACCGCTGATAGATCATGAAGTTCATGCCCGACCTGTTGCAACAATCCTGTTTAGCACGGCATATCCTCTCAGCAGGTAGAGCAACCTACGTTCCACCCAGACATTTTCCCTGTGCATAGTGAATTGACCTTCCATTGGCACCAGGGATGTTTTCTGCAACGAAACCCCAGTCAAGAGAGACCTTCGTAGTAGGATCCGATCCGACAGGAATCACGTCTGCGGCGGGGATAGCAGCCACGGATTCTGATTCATACAATCCTCCAGACTCAACCAAGGCAACCTTCAGCGATTTCTGCGCCAACCGGGTCGCGATGACAATCCCAGCAGTACCGCCGCCAACAATAATATAATCGAACTCGGCGTCTTTGGGACTGTCCGCATCGACCTGGTGGGTATACTGAGCTAACTCAATGCTCAGAACAGCGCACACTTCTAGAACCAACAATTGCAACAGAAGCGAGAGAAGCATGGCTCCACGTATCATTTCGACATGTAGGGATGGTGACTCATGAGACGGTCGACCTTGTAATGTAAAAGTGGCTTTTTTGCCAAGTGTAGCCCAACCTGGAATGGCGTTGGCAGGAGTACAGACGGTGGACAAAACATCACTCCTAGGTAGCATATTCCTACGTAAATCAAATGGTTCCACACATTGGGACTTGTCTGCGTTTTCAGACGACATTCCGCAACAATACCCCTGCATTCCACTGCCAACCTACAGTTGTTACCTTTCTCCAAATTCCGTGCGTGATCTAGTTACTCAGGTGAGAAGAAATGTCTTGATGAAAATTGATCGATCATATTGATACTATCTAGAAGAGGAAACGAAGGAGTAAGGACTCCACGCAGGGGAGGTGGTCAGGTGCGCTAGTCCTGAAAGGGGAACCATCTCGGACATCTTCAACAGACCTCTATTGGAGCCACAGAAGAGGGAAGTGTAGATGTTATTCCTCTTTTTAACCTGGAACCAGGTGAGATGGATGTTACTATCTGTGTGGCCCGGAATCCCAGTCTTTCCATTTCAACTCTAAAAACTAGCCTATCCGTTCTCCAGACACTGCAGGCAGGGAAATCTAATAATCAGAGAAAGTGATATTATTCATTCTTTTGCCATCTCGATTTGATTGCATAGTAATATGAGTTATATGTTTGATTCATTACTCTTTTCTTTTTGTATTTCAGTGTTCATTAATATGCTATATGTAGTCAACTGACGAGACTATGGATGAAATTCCAAAATAGGGTTTTATTGAAGGAGTTCCAGAGAAAGCTAGAGGTGGGTTGGATTCGGGTCAATCCGCACTGTGTCTAATTCATGAAAAGACTCAACTATGAGACCCATAATCGAGTTCAGTCCACAAGGTTATTTCAACTTTTGTAATCGAGCCAAGGATCATCACAGAGTTCTCTTGCTGTCGCTCGACATTCGGGGTCCCACTGCAGCATTCTTTTCGCAAAATTAAGAAATAACTGCTTGTCCTCTCCGTCCAAGAATGGTGTAAGGTTTGAGAAAGTGAAGTCCTCTGGAGGGATCAACTCTGGATACCTAAAGTCACCTAGATTGAGAGACATGTAAGTCCTCAAGAAATCCATTAAGGATGGAAAGTCGTACCATCGTTGGAAAAAAGATCAGAGCGTATAGTCGGATCAACCCTATCCAGGAATTGCAAAGGAGGAGGCCCAAGAAGATGGAAGATCTGAGCCAAGTGAGCAGCGCGGCTATAAGCATTGGCTCTGCGATCTATGCCATTGAAAAGAACGGTTTCTCCAAGTAATTCCCAAAGCTATTCGATTTCAGACATGGCACTCCATGATCAAATCTGCATGGACTTACCACGGTCCCTAAATTCCATATATCCGTGCTATACGACCATGCACACTCCAAGAGAACTTCCGGTGCGCAGAATGGCTGGGGTTGGATAGTGTGGGTATTGGGAGTAGACTGATGACCAAAAACAGCAGTACTGAAGTCGCTTATTTTTACACACCGCATACCTCCTTGTAAACGGCCGAAATCCGGGCGTGACTGGTAGATACGTCGACCAGCACGTATCGTGTACGGAGGAGGATGGCTTTCCTGGTGACGCACATAACTGTCAAGGATGGTGTTGTTTTCGAATCCCACCAGGAAATTATCCGACTTGAGATCTTCGCATTCTGTCAACAATGGCCAAGGAAGGTAAATAGAAGGCAGGTTACCAGTATGTATGACACGGCATTCAGTATGAAGAAAATCCAGACCCTGTAGCAATAGTCTCAAAAAGGCCTTCAGTACGGTAGGAGGGACGCCAACACACCCGAGGTGCCTACCCAAGAGCCAGAGCGGTTCTCTTAATGGATTGAACACTAAACATGTGTGTTCTCCATAAGGACCCTGGACATCGAAAGACTCATTTGCTACGCGGACATACGCCCGACCTTGGTGGCTGGACCGCAGTTGAGAAATATGGCGAGATATGAGGACCTCTTCCTGGGCAGATTTTCGGTCACCAATGCCGCAGTTCGATATTTTCAAAGCGTAATACCGGTCTGACTGCCAGCGCCATCTTGACCTAATTAGATTGGTTCAAAGAGATATGAATATAGCTCACCGCGAAGTGTCCTTAGCCAGCCACACAGTAGAATTGCTGCCCCAGCCGAGCTTCGATATCAGGCGGTATTTGTTGTGAATAAGCTCTCCAGTACGGGCAGGATAGTACTTGGTTTCATCGTAACTGGGGTATTCATCTTCTTCATGTCTAATGTCTGAATGACAGTCGCTCTTGTACCTGACCATTCTTCTAGTCAAGAAGCGAAGCCGAGAAGCCTTGCAATGAAGTAAAGGTTGAATCGCCATCGCAATATTTAATTCTTCTGCAGCAGAAAAGTCGGCATATCGCCGTTAAATACCGGGCATTGAGGATCGGGCCGTTATTACATTTGTCCGAAATTCGGTGCCTGATCTAGTTAGCCTATTATTTTCCTGACGTTGCGCGCCAGAAAGCAATGACGAATAGATTGATCAGGGACAAAGTTCTGGAAGACCTACGACTATTGGCTGCACTACAAACAACAGAGTAAGATTTTCAGCAATTAGTACAAACAATTTAAACTACTTTATGAGCGGACCGAAGCGAACAAGACCCACAGGCCCACTGTCCCCGCATCAGCCTTCCGCCGCTTCCCCACTAGATCCATTGCCGGATTCCTGGTTCGGCTTTCAAGCGCGCGGACCGAATTGAATAAGCTAAACCTGGCCTGCTTGCCCACTCTACATAAAATGAACTACTTAGATCTGTTATGGGTTGGTAGTTGGTACGAAAGTGGTGTGATATATATATATAAGCAGTGTTTGATAACCATCATGCCTGAGGAAAGAAAAACAATTAAATTCCAGGGGTCCTAAGGTCCTTATTGCCAGCCGAACACAAGGAAACACATTTTACCCCAGCTCATTTTTGTTTGTTCACTTATCTCCTCCTGGCTTGCCACGCTTGCCAATCACATTAATTCTGTACCTGGATTGCTCCTCTTCTCATTTAAGCACTGCTTGCTGACTAACTTGCAGAGTTGCAGTATGTAGGCACTCATAGAACAGTGAGCTACTATCATAATTAGTTTTATTTACCTAAATTACCTCTCACACTTTTCATGCTTAATTATTCTATTGAAACATTCACTTCTAATGTCACATCCTCAATCCAGCTAGAAATTCTCTGCTGCATGCTAAAATGTCAGTCGACGAAGATACTAGTGCATCAGCCTTTACATCAGCCCACTAATCCCGATTTATGCAGAGTGGGAGACCACCTCTGCGCTCATAAGCTTCACAGCCTCACCCTGCCCAGCTGTTAGAAAATAGATTACTGCTCGAATTTCAAGATACATGACTATATATGACCCTATACTGATGAGGTATATGTCTGGACGCCTTTTTAGCTTAGTGGTATATTATTTTCACACCAGCTCTATTGGGAAAGGCTTGCGGCTCGAGCAATGCTACCATATGTCTCATAAGGTTGATCCTGCAGACAGAATGCCATTTTGGGAGGGTTTCAGAGCTTTTATTTAGTCTACTATATATTCCTTTTCTGGCTAACTTTTACCTAGCTAGTGATGTCACCTGTAAGTCAGGATGAACTTTTAATAGCTAGTTAATGCTATTTTCTAAGTTATAAATACTTCCTAAGGCTGTGTGCTAGGAAAAAATAATAAAATAAGATATTTGTTCTAAGAGTGTTGTGGTTAAGGAGAGATGGGGTTTATAAAGGTTGGTTGCTGGGCGCTGAATTTAGTTTCTACTCACCACTAGTTATAGCCTCGCATATTACACAATGGTCAAAAATGCAGCTAAATTCCAGTGTCTCATCATGTCTCTACTAAGGTTGGCAAACAAGAAAATCGGCTTTGTAAAGTGGGGATGCACATATATACATTCCAGTCTCATCTAGGAAGAATGTGAACTTGCCTAATGATCATGTATTGTGTCAGTCCCTATCACAGTAGTAACTAGGTTCCTGTGCCGCTTATGACAACCAACCCAGGTGAAAGAGGTGAGGTGATAAAAGTACCCGAACTAATGGCATGTATGCATTGATATCCCTTACATCATACAGATTATTCATGTAATAAGCATAACCATGCTGTGTTTACAGATCTCAACATATATAGTGCAACCCTTTCCTAGACAACTTTCAGTAGACAACGCTGAGGGCTGTCTGCGGGTTGTGGTCATAGCTATAATGGATGACCTAGTGCTTTCACCAGACCCAGTCTGGCTGAATATTGCCCACGCGCTAGTACTTTACCTGGCCTTAACTCTACCAACTGCTTTTGTTATCATAACCACGCAGAAGTCACCATCGGTTCGACGTGCCTGGGCGACATGTGTTCTTTACATTCTGTACCGTTTCTCCCTACAGGTACCTTCTCTATCCACGAGTCATTTCCTGAAAGGCGTGGCGGGAGGCGAAGCAGCCCTGGCTGCTCTGCAAAGCCTCAATCTACTCCTGATCACAAACCTAGATGAGACTGAGCTGGTACACGCAAAATTGTACAGTCCGTCCGCAAGTCTGCCTTCTCGCCTTCTTCGTACCTGGGCATTGTTGCTCAATTTCCGGGGAGTCGGCACGGCCTGGGAGGTCAAGAACGTACCCCAGCACCCAGCTTATCTCCGGCAACGGCTGAGCCGAAAGCGCTATGTTCTACGAGAAAGTGTAATTATCGTATGGCAGTACCTACTGCTGGATGTTATCTACATGTCGATAAGGGACACTTCCCCGGAGGACGTAGCCCGGAGTTTTGGTCATGGCTTGGAATTCAAGTATTTTGACGCAACGTTCGAACAGTGGATGGGACGTATCTCCACGGGGATCTTTGCCTGGCTTGTGCCGTGCCGCGTTTGCATCGACATCGTGCCCCGGATTTACTTTCTGATCTTGGTGGTTTTGGGCATTTCTTCGCCGAACTCGTGTCGTCCGGGTTTCGGCAGATTGCGGGATGCGTACACCATCCGTGGCTTCTGGGGGTAAGTATCCCTAATAATGTGCAAAAGGCAAGAGAAATAACCTCGCCACAGAACGTTCTGGCAACAATTCTTCCGTTGGCCTCTTACCTCGGTGAGCACCTATCTCGCGAGGGATGTCCTCAGGTTGCCTAGCCACTCGCTCTTGGAACGCTACACCAACCTCTTCTTCAGCTTTTTCACATCGGGTGTATTGCACCTGATCTGCGATTCTATGCTAGGCGTTCCGCCGTCAGGGTCTGGTGCATTGATGTTCTTCTGCTCACTTCCGCTTGGTATCATGATTGAGGATGGGGTTGAGGCAATTTGGAGCCGAGTCACGGGGCCAAATGAGGGTGTGGTTCCCTTCTGGCATAGGCTCGTGGGGTTTCTTTGGGTCGGTCTCTGGATGTCTCTGACGTCGCCGTGGTACCTGTACCCGTCCGCTCGTAAACACCCGCACGAGCACTGGATGGTACCAGTCGGTGTCGTGGAGAGAATTGGACTAGGCGCTGCTCAGAAGATCCTGCTGGGTTATGGATTGCTCCTGTACTGGGGGGTTGGTGGCGAGGTTTTCTAACAGACTGCCTGGAGCGAGGGTACTGTCAATACCGAGTCTAGATCTGCTTGACCTCAACCTGGATCAAGTTTCGCCTACTTGCCTCGGACTGTTGAAAATGACGAGCTGATAAATTAGGGTCTGGCCAGATATAGCACGGTAGATGCCTGGGAGAAATGCTGGGCGAGATGTGGGCCCTGGAAGCGACGAAGTAAATCTCCCGAGCCGGCCGCGGGCAGACCGTCTTTGGGGCAGGAGAATGTCCTTTGTTGATTGAATCCTGCGAGATGCGAGATGCAAGATGCAAGCTAACCAAGTATGCTCCTGCTGGATAGCACTTAGTTAGGCCTACGTATTACTAGTATTGTACGCATAATATCGCCAAGGCATCGCGAAGAACGATAGCAGAAGATAAATGTTATTATTAAGTCGGCTACGACCAGATGATAAGCAATTCACGACCTGATATTTTATCGTCCGTCTCGCCCATGTGGTCGTTTAGGTTTTAGTCTCCACATGGGCAGCATAACCGAATCGATTGAGTAATAGGAAACCGTTGATCGAGCTAGTCGGGTAGCCGAGAAACAGACGAAAGGGTCAAGATCTGTATTCCGAGAGAGATGAAGAGAAAGAAAGAGAAAGAGAGAGATCTAGCTAAGACATGCAAGCGCTGGAGCAAACGGAGGGGATCACCTGGCCCCACACTCCAATAGATTCACATACTCAAACACGCCTCCAGCTTGTTGTCGACTCTGTGAGGAACTCGGTGGGAAGTTATATCGTTTTTTCCATGTCTTGCAGGAACTTGCCGTATTCCTGGAGAAGTGCCTTCACATCCGCCTTCAGCTGGTCCAAGAACTCAGCCCAATCCTCTTTGGCATACCTGTGGAAGAAATGTGTTAAATTGACTAGGAATAATGGTTTAGGATTGGGGAATTAGAACACACCCCGTAAACTCGTCTTTCAAATGCAGGGAGACCTGGTTTGTAAAGTCGGACCAGAGTTTCTGGACTTCCTTGTCGCCGGGACGAGATACAAGCAGAGGATGCGCGGCCATAGCGGTGGAGTTGGCTGGCAGATTAACATGACCACCCCAGCTGTTATATTTGTCGTTTTTGTGAGCGCGCAAGGTCAGATGAGTGCTACCAAAAACACCCTTGGCAAGCCCTTCTGTCTTAGGATGACGCCAGTCAAGGAGGTAGTTAGGACCAGGATTTTCGCTGTCCGGAGCTCTCTCCCGAACAAGTGTGATGTGGGAGTACGCAGGACCCCAGGCGGCAGTAGGCGTCCAACCAGCCTTCCCCTCCCAGTTAGGGACCTTAGCTGATGTGTTTTGGAGCCAAATGTATGAAAAGGCAGGGCGGTCGGCGTCTTTCAACTGATATTCTAAATAATGAGAAATGATTATTTTTGTAAGCCCGCTCTGGTCATATGCAGACACCTTGCTGTAGGATTATGGGACCAAATGCTTAGACTCACCGAAATGGGAATTTTTCAAGGTCTGCTCCAATTTCGTCTCGTGGAATTCAAGTCCACGCTCCGTCAGTGTTTCGTCGTCTTTCCACGGAATCCCCGTTTCAGTTACTCCGGTAGCCTTATGCTGGTAGCCCTTGATGTATTTCGATTTGTATTGCTTATTAGGTGTCCTCCAAACGTCAGGAGTAATGTCCACTGTTCCATTACCGTTGAATTTGGCAAGATCCTCGGCAGTAGTTTGGGTTTCGGAAGTTGTCTTCGGCTTGACTGTCTCCATGATTGCGATAGGTGTGATAGAGAAGAATAAAAATCAGATGTGCGTGGAAACCATCATATTCCAGGACCTGGCTGGGTTTTTATAGGCAGATGGTGGCATATCCGGCTGCCTGAGATGTATCGTGGTAGCATTGGGACATCGCGTATTTTGACCCTGGGTTTCGTTCAATGTTGGCGTTGGCATTGCCAGCTGAATACAGGACTCACCACATGTAGCGCAAGGGCTCCATCGCAATGAAATTCTCTGGTAGTAGTTATATTTCCGCCAAAAAAGGGTGACTCGGCTCGACTGACTCCCAAAAGGCGGGTCAGGTTGGATTTGAGCACCTGTGTCCCAACTCCCAAACGAAGGAAGTGGAGCAAAGTGCTGGCTGTTGACTTTTCAGCTTCACCTAGTCAATTGCATATCTGAGTCACAGACGTTCACTTAATGATTCAAAGCTGAAGTGGGTCACGGCCACTCCGAAGCTTGGATCGCGAATAAGGAGACTGAGCAGCAAGTAGCCATTTGAGACGCCTGTGTATCTTTTCGCTGTTCTCTAAGACTTTTAATTTTATAAGGCCGGATGGTCATTTTGCTAAGTTTTGGCAGGACGGCTTTCAGGTGGAGTGGCGGGATTGGTATTTGAATCGAGATTTGAGGGAAATCCTTGCCGACGAACGGCAGTCTTAATTAGCGATGTTCAACTTACAAGCATAATCTATTTTAAGCAATCATACTAGAGAGAGAGCTTCAGCAAAGCCACCTGTGCATTCCACCCCGCATTACGGGGGGATGTATGGAGAAGAATCCTCCTATTTGATGCACTGAGCACCTACATGTTCCTGATAGTCATTATTATGCCAATATCTACTTCAAAAGGAGAGTATGCGTCAGGGCTTATAAACAGAAATTACAATTTCGTCTGACTTTGATGAGCTAGTCAGGGTTTATTCCAATGGTTGAATTTAGATGTAGTTTACGGAAGCACGAAGAAAAAGGACAAAGCATGAGTTTGACTAGCTAAAGATTTGTAACAGGCACAATTATTGCCCCCGGTGCCCTATTCTGCCTTTCTTTCTTCCACAATCGGATATAATCTGTAGCCAATACAGTAAGAACAATCTACTTTCACAGCAGAATTTGTGGCTGGTTCAGTCGCTGGAAGAGTGTCGTTCACTGTAGTTCAGTAATAATGGCCTATATCAGTATGTACTTTGGAGAAAAGGAATGCTGATTGGAATTTCACTCACAGTCCTTCAGTTACAGATCCTCGCCCTGTTGAGCAGCTTTCTCCTGCTCAAAACCAGCGGACTGGAAACCGCCGGACTGAAAGCCAGACTGAAAGCCCTTGTTCTGTTCAAAACCACCGGACTGAAAACCATCGGACTGCAAACCACCGGACTGAAATCCTCCTGCATTAAATCCAGACTTGGAAAGTTCCAAAGCCTTCTGGATCTCCCCACTAGCTCCCTTCAAAACGCCCTGTAGGAAACCCTCCGAGAACCCCTTGGAGTAGGCTTGCGCAAAGGTCTCTGGAGAAAATGCAGAATCAACGGGACGTTGGGATGAAAGATTTACAAAGCCGGGATCATTGCTTGGAACAGGTTTGAAATCGTCCTCAGCTTTGGTTCTGGAGACAAAGCCGGGATCATTGTTTGGAACGGGGTTGTAGGACATGATGTCGGTTGATAATTGATTATAAATGAGGAATCAGCAGCGGAAAATAAGTAAAAGATGTGATGAATGGTATGTACTGTTGGTTCTGGGGTATCAAGATGGGAATATTCAATATATATCAGGGTCTTGGGTATATATGTAAAGCCAACACATGAGCAAGTTCCCATTCTATTAGCGCACATCTGCATGTCCATTAAACCAAAATACCAAAGGGATTTGTAAGCAGACCAGAGGCGAGCTGAAACTAATATGCAGAAGTCAAATATTGCAAAACAAGGTGAACCAAAGCGATGGGAATCACAAGTTTATTTTTTTTTTTTTTTTACTTTCTGTTTTCTTTAACTGATATACTGGTAAGCACGCCTTCAAGGATTTTGTAAGATGACCAGATGTGAGTTGAATCTACTCCGTATAGTGTTTCTACTTATTTTACTCTGCAGGTACGGTCGGATTCGGTTAAGCATTATGGTGGGGCAAGGGTCAAAACATATAGATTTATTAGGGACTTGCAAAATAATTCCTTACAATCAAGGAACAAATGGTCCTTTCAGCTTGTGTTCAGTTGTGGAATATTCAGATGAGTAGAGGTCATCTGGATCAGCGAAGTGCTCCAGCCTCGCCCCCTCATTTTTTGGTGGCTTTTGGGCGAATGTTTGAAGTAATTACAACCGAGATAGATGGTACGGTTTTTGTGAATCACAAGGACACATTTTCGAGTACGCTTTGGAATCAAAGAAAATGAAATTAGCCTGTCAATTGGCCTCGGGGTTGCCGATTTAAGCCAGTCGCGTGTTTGTTCCCAAATGGGAGGACCAGCGGCACCAGCCCCTCATCTACAAGGTGTTGGGTCTTAGAACCCTGGTTTGAAATTCTATCAAGTCGAACATTTTAAGCCATATAGTATCCATTAGTATGCATTGGTATGCATTGGCCGGTTGAGTTCCTGCAGAGGTTTATGCCTCTTCAGCTGGTGATTAATGCCTGTGGTGCTGCTGGATGTGGACCTGGTTGTCCGCACACTACCTTCATTCGGGCCGAACCGATCCACAATCCATGTTGAGTGACCTGAATAGTTTCACAGAGGTAATTATTGCCGTTTCATCAAAGGATTTGGTCTAGAATTTTTTTCCCCCGCATTTATTATGTAGACACGCATTGATAGAAACAATAAGCGACCGGATCTTCGTCAAATTGATTATTACAGGATCATGACGGCTTAATATTGAAAAATACTGATTGTGAAGTAATGTTAAATCAATTATTTGGTCTTTACTCAGTACAAAAAAACGATGATTTACTTCTACAATATTAATACAGTACCCATGTATTGTGTGGAGTATTTGCAACGTTCTGCTGGAAATCTAAGGAGTCATAACAACTCAAGGGTAAATCCTGCCAACCGTTGTGTCATAAGTCAATTATCTTAAATGGTAGGTCTAAAGAGCTCCCTCAAACTTATATTCACTTTGTTTGTTCCAGAGTTCCCACCAAGAACATCTAACATTCAGTATGGGTTTTGAAAATGAACAAGATCATTTTGCACCCAATGATCTGATGTTTACATGCGTCAACACAGGTACAGCCATTGATCTTTATGGCGGTAACAGCCTCTCTAGCTACAACATCTGAAGCAAGCTAAATGCTAACAAATACTTACCATTAGGAGGTGGTCATGATGGAAATTGTGTGAATGGGTGGGAGTTCAACCGCTCCACAGCCCAGCAGTGGAAGCTGGAGAAGGTGAACCCTGGGTCGGCCTGGTCAGCATGGACATTGAGAAATGTTTGCGGAGGCAGTGAGTTCTATCAGTCCTTCAGGGAGACTTTGGTTTACTTTTCTTATTTTTGCTAATCCGTCCACCATTGGCAGGTTATTTGGACCTGGCAGGGGGAAATCCCGCAAATCGCACTCCCTTGCATGGGTGGAACACGGGTGGCAACGCGAAGAGCTCGCAGTGGTACTTGATCACCCAGGATAGCAATAACGGCTGGTACATGTAAGTAATTCTGCTTCTGCGATCAAAATTTGTTCAAACAGCTGATGGGATTTTAGGTTACAGAATGCGGCCACGTACTCGTATGTCGATCTCGACGGTGGAAACGGCAACAATGGGTAAGTCGAGAAGTTTGTTGAGATTGACTTGAGGTCTCGCTTCTAACTCGAATTATTAGAACGAGAATCCAAGGTTATCAGCGGGGAGTGGACCTGAATCGGAATCAGATGTGGCACATCCATTTTGTCTAAGGATAGGAGTATATATATTTCTTTCAAATGTTGGGAATCATAACCATCTCAACCAAGTCTTCCATTTGAAATGCCAAGTGTCAATAGTTGGAACTTATAGTCATTCCCCTAAATCCTCTCAGTGAACTTTTATCGCCCAGCCATTATTGCCTCCATATAATAGCGAATTTTCATGGAGTGATCATTTTAGTCAGCTAACTACATATGTATAGGTCCACAGAGCTCCCTCACATAACTCTACCACCACCTGATGTATTTCTGACAGCTACCTAGCAGATATAGCTATTTCTAGTTCCAAGACCTTTGAATCAAATTCAAAATTATTCTCCAGCGCTTTACTTATTGGCGTTCTTTTTACAAGACCAGGATCCCGTTGAAATATAAAGGTGAAAATAGCTTGATTAAAACGATCACTGCTATCGAAATACGAACTCGACGGATAGATACATGGCCCATTCCCCCTTGGAGATCTTACAGATCACTCAATCCACTCTCAATCAGCTCAGGCTCATGTGCCTTGAGCTTCAGAATAGCATCATTCCCTAACTTTGCACAAATAGCATCCTGAATTCGAGTTTGGGTCTCCTCATAGAACGGCTCCCGGTGGAATACATCGTCATCCGTCTCCAGCAGTTGCAAAATCACCCGGAGAGCGTTGTCGCGGGTGGTATACAGATCGGTTGCCCAGATGACATTCTTCAGATTCATCAGCCCCTCCCAGAGGGTATTTGCCACGGTCGGCTCATCCGTAACACGTCGAAAATCAACATCATACTCCTTAGCAACGTCGTCAACATGGCGTCTGCAGCATGCGGATAGCGGCACTGGTATTCCTTGCAGCCATGGTAAGCTGGTAGTAAATCAGGGCTTTGCGTTCCTTTCCGCGAATTCGGTTTTCATTGTCGTTCACGCCATCCGCAGCTTCGCGGCAACGCTGCTCTGCTCTCTGTTTAATACTGTCATCGAAGAAGCCGAAGATTCCATTCTCGATCTGAAGAAGTGTATGGACAACTCAGATAACGTGACTTTCTTTGACACACCCACCTTACCCTTAGAACTTTTCAGTACGGTAATTTAATACAGAACCCGCCGTCGCCCCGGATTAATCTGTCGCGGTGGAACCAGAGATAAGGTTATTTAGAGTTTTAAATCAGATCCCGCTTGCCGCAATAGGAAGGAAACCTGCCGTGACATAAGAAGTTAACTGTGGACGCATTCGAACATCTAGAAGTCATCATGACATCTACTGACATGCCTACAGATATTTGCAGTGGGCCAAATTTTTGAAAATATTCCTATCGTTCTACAACTTCTAACATCTTCGTACGATTACGAATTCCCACCAAAAATGGCTGGAGCTGCCGCTGCCGTTGTTGCAATTGCTGGCGGGGTTGCCAATATATGCAACGCTATAGGAGTGCGGGTCTCGGTTCTCTTGATTCTTGGAAATATGGCCCAGACTTTTGAAGTGCGGGCATTATATGATGCGCAGATTTTGTACCCAGTTGCCAGTCGAACAACCAACATAAGCTTTGAGTGTTTTAGAGTTGGTCCCCAGACTGCTCTAGAGCAATCTGTCGTGGGATAATGTGACCAATAATTGGATCCAAGTGTAAATTCCACGTCATATTGATAGAAGATATGAGTCCCAGTGACACAATAGCTCATGCATGAAGGTTTAGGGCAAGTTAATCACTGTTTGCAGACAATAGAAACTGGAGTCTGTATTTTAGTAGCTGGTCGAGTGATGCCAACCTCATGCTATAAAGCCATGCTCACTCTATCATATTTGTCTGCTTGGTCCTATCAATACTAGTATCCCTAATTATCATCTATCTAGTCCTGCAATAACATATCATCTTAACAATTCCCCAATGGATCCGCAACCAGAAAGCTACAGTGACTACGTTGATCTACGTATCACTGATAACTGTGCTGGGCCAGTCGCTGTCCAGAATGCACAAGTTAGCTGGTAATTGCTGCCACTCTCTTACCAGCCTGATTGGAACCAGTTTTTCTAATTGTGTTTCTATGGCAGGGGAAAGTTCTATAAATACAATAATGAGGATAACGAGCTCACTCCCCAGCAAGTTGATGGAACTGTGATCAACCCTGGTAAATCTGCCGATGTCTGCGCTTGTGGCAGAAAGGGATCCGCTTCAGGGACCACAGGATCTGTGGATTTGGTAGATACCACTACCAATGCGAGAATCTGTACACTCGCTTGGAACTGTCCCTATAGTGGATCCAATGACCTTGAGGTGCAAAACCAGAACAGTAACTACACTGTTTCACCGCCGAATTACTCACCTCGTGGGCCATTGGGAACTGTCCCAATCAGCGTCTCCGACTCCTAACTTTCAAAGTGTTTCTGTTTTAAAGTCATTGCTGATGCGAGCTACAAAAGAGAAAGGGAGAGGTCGACTTGAATAAAAAGTAAAAATGGGAAAAAAAGAAATGGAAAAGGAAAAAGGAGGGGGCAACTATAAAACTGACCAGACGCAAAGGAAACACCTGGTGAAATCTGCCACAGTTAATAGCTTGCTGTTGAATTTGAATTATGTACTTAATAAGTTGTGTTCCCGCATCTCCTAACTTTTCGTGCAAAAGGCAGAGTGTGACTGTTCAAAGTCATTACTGATGCGAGCTACAAAAGAAAAAGGGAAAGGTTTGATTGGAATGAAAAAGTAAAAAAAAAAAAAAAAAAAAAAAAAAAAACAAAAAGAAAGAAAGAATCAAACAGGAAACAGAAGGGGAATAGCATACTATAATTAAGGCAATGCCTGTCAAGACAGTTATCCAATGCTATTTCTCATGCTTTCTTCCTTGTAACTTTCAGTGCCCACCCAGGATCAAGGCCAATTTTCATATTCTTCCACTGCTACTTCAATAAGTCTAGGAATGTCGTTGAAATTGTCTCAGATAGTGCTTGGCGCTGCTTCAGCTTCCCAGGAGGAACAGACCAGAGGCCGGGCTGCGATGGAAGGAGGTTGATAGTTATCTGTGGAAGCATAGACCCGGTAAATCGATATTGGTCAAAGATTCACTGGAGTGCTGTAGCGGAAGCAGCCATGGTTCAGATCCAGATGTAACATACCCAGCGAGGCCTGTCTGCTCCATCCCACCATGGAACAGGGAATCACCGACCATATCAGTCAGCGGTCCACTTTCTTGCAGGTGGTTCTCCAGACTTGTGCTTTGTGGTGGTCTAATTCTAAAAGAGGAAAACAGCCTATTACTCTGGACCAGCACGCGAGCACATCTCATACACCAATAGACATCAATGTGATCCTGCAGCGCTGTCAGAATAATCCGAGCTTTGCGTTTCTGACTGGTCAGATTGCGGTCCTCCTCCAAAGCGGCCACGGTTGTGGTTTCGTAAACGTAATCTACACGGCCAGATTCGGTCTTGCAGCAGGGATATTGCCTAAGCCACAATACAGTCTCAGTTAAGCCCTGCGTATCAACATAATAAAAAGATATAGCAAAAACAAAGACAAAAACATACGACAGCCGGGATTCGCTGGTGGTCACCCACCCAACTACTAACCGGCCGGCGTGTGGCTTAAGTACGGCTGAGCGGACGGGAAGCCCTGTTTTCCACACCCTGTGGTCGTATGTGCTAGGACGGAAGCACGATTATCTTAAGATCTGTCAGACTGCGCATTTTCCTCCCATTCAGCTTCTCATGTACCTAATCTACAGGCGCATATACCAAGGGCCGTGTCAGAGATGGATGGGGCCATGGAGCCCAACCAGCTCATACACGCTGCGATTGTGGATCACTGGCGGTGTGAGTGATAGGACGTCCTCCCATCAGAGGCCAAGGTCAGGGGTCAGCTCTAGTCAAGGGCAGAAAAGGTGGCGCCTTAATTTTGACATGTCATTTGCAGAGGCTGTCGAAAGCAGGTCTTAGAGGTCAAGCAGAGCATACTGAATAGTGGGACACTCTGGCTGAAGATTGTCAACTTCTACAGAAAGATGAGTGTGCCAGCCACCAGCCGTGCTTCCGCTTTCGGGTTGAAGCGGGAAATTCAGAGTATAAGAAGATGAACCGGGAGTAAGGTCCATCAAACACCAGGCTTTATCTATGCATTCAAGATGACTCGAACAGTTCCAACCATACAATCCCATGTCGATTTTCGGCAGTCAATCAGAGGTCAAACGGCCGGGCTGCCCAACTTCTACTCTCTTTTTCCTGAGTGGAAACCTTGGCTTCATCCGGAATATGACCGTGCTCGTGACGAAGTGCTTAATCCATGGATTGAACTGTGAGTGCACTGGCTTCAGTATATACTGCCAACATTACTAAGGTTGCAAAGCTGGGTCCCTGATGCAGAGACAAGTCGCAAATTCCAGAAGGCGGATTTTGGCCGTTTCGCTGCCATCATGTGTGCAGATGCGTCGTTTGAGAAGCTGTGCATTGTAGCAAAGGCATTTGCATGGGTTCGTTGCCTCTTTTCGCCTGACGAATACTCTGAATAATCTGCTAATGCACAGACAGTACTTCATCTGGGACGATTGTAAGCTTTCGACGAATCGGACCCCAAGGTTGAGAGACTAATTGATTACTGCTTCCTAGTATTTGACTGTGGCTGCCTGACGCATGATAAGATGGCTATCCCGGAATACCGGGACAAGTCTATGCAATACTTCCGCGCAGTTCTTTCCAGCAGGGAAGATGCTCCGGACCTATCGGGATGCTCAGACGAGCTGCAAAAGGCGCTATTGTGCTGGGATGAGGTGGCGACCCACATTCGAGAGGTCTGTTCAAAGGGTATTGGGTATTCTTTACCTTCCACTTGTCTTCTGTCTATTGGCTAACGTGGCCGAGGAACCTGTGAGGTTCTACTGGAGAATAAACTGTTTTTCCTATCTAGCGCCGACACTGTCGATACCATCTGTGATGGAGACTGTGTACCTTCCTTGGCGCAATACTGGGCACGTCGAGAACGTACCGCCGCAGTGTATGCTACTATAGCTACTATTCCGGGCGCAACTTCTCCGCTTCGTTGACTTTGGACCCGTACTAACGAGTAGTAGGTTCATCTACGGGGTCGACGTCAGCAAACGAGAGCTAAGTGATGAGCTGATACAAGCGTTATTCAGACATACCTCTTATTTGGTACACATGTGAGCTTCTTCTAGGTCATTTCCCCGTGGCAATCTGCTGACCACGGTTCGCAGGATCAACGACATGTTCTCCCTCCGAAAGGAAATTGTATGTGCTTTTTGACAATAAAACTCCACGTTCTGACACAGACATGCAGGGGGACAATCAGATCGAGAACCTGGTTCCGATCTTGATGCTCAATCACAACATCGATTGCTGCAGCGCAATGGAGCGGGCGAGCTTGCTTGTCCAGGAGGCCGCCTGTGCCTTTCGCGAGGTGGAGAAACGTCTACGCGAACTGTCGCAGCAAGCGCCTAATCCAGTCACCGAAATGTTCCTGCAAGGGTGCAAGGACGTCGTTATGGGATTGACTTATTGGAGGTATTTTCCCTCGTGCATCCCCATTTGCCAGACTCGTCTGGTCTTGGCTATTCTGGCTTCGCTGGACGTCATCGCTTCTTCATTCTTGCCGTGAAATTGAGACTGACGGGAATAGTTACACTGGGCAACGATACTTCAAGCAATCAGAAATCGGTGTGGACAATGTGATTGAGTTTCAACTCTGAGGAGGACAGTTACGCACAGACAGCAGCTTCCTCAGCCCTCTGCAGGCATGATGCAAACGGTGGATTCTGGTCGAGCGGTGTAAGGGCACAACCGGAGATAGATTCCGTCTAGAGCAAGCGAGTATGTGGCTAAGGTGAAGATGGGTCCAACCCGGATGTAAAGCATGTGATGCTCTGATTTCGTCTCACCGCTACTTCCAGAGCCCTCTTATGACAGTCCCAGAAGTGCACCCCGCCACCAATCTATTCAGCTTCCAAGAAGATCCTTGAAAGTTTGTATAGGTCTCCCTCGATCTCTCCTATATCAGCTCTAATGAAACATATCTTTCGAGACCCCGGCACTTTCCTGCCTAAGCGATGGCTCAGCGAAGCGGGCCAGACTTGGATCAGTGAAGGGTGGCATTCAGTCTAGGTGCATATCATGCATTGGAGTGAGGTTAGTCCTTGTATAGTGAGACGTGGTCAGCAGTTGCTGGCTTTCTTGCCGCCCTTTTCCCAGTGGCATTTGTAATCCACCAGTGCTGGGTGGAAGCTTTATAACACTGGCTTGCTGCCGAACCTTATTTCTCGCGAGCTACGACACTCACTCACATGTGGAGTGTTTTCCAAGTGGCAATGGCATGGGCTACGTGGAGTTGCAGCGCTGATCAATTAGCCGGGTCAATGACACCAACCAACTATGTTGAAAAAACGCATATGATAGTGGATTTATAGGTGTAGGCGCACTTATCCTAACAGACTCCAACTCCTCGACCTCAGGTTATCATGTCGATGATTAGGAAATATGGTAGGAAACTTACCTATAATTCTGGGTGGACTGTTCTATATATGGCCAGACTCGACCAGGACGCGGATACCGTCCCGCTAGCCACACGTAGACAGATCAGGGAGCATCATAGACCAGATGCACACCCCTCGCCTTGCCACACAGTACCAGCCATCAGATCGGTATGCGCGAATCCTCCGTGGGAGAGTGGTCGGGACACGCGTCATTGTCCCTACCGATCCCCGAGCCGCGGGTATAGAAAGGCATTGCCCTCCCTAGCTAGGGGAGGGGTTCAATCCTCTCCATGGTCAATTGAGTCCAGACGTCGCGCGTCCACAATATCAGAACGCTGTTCGATCGGACAGGGTTTCCATGTCTACGCGTGATACATCATTCAAACCTCAGACGGCACCCTGATCGACATCACTAACGAAGGCTATCGGCGTGCCAGCGCGGCCACCATGAAGTCGGGCTTCGAGGAAGAAGACCCCACCGCCGTGTTCGTGGCCGATGGTGGCCAGGACTGGTACAAGCGGACGGTGCCCAAGTTCGAGGTCAGTGCAGTGTTCTTGATGGTGCTCGAGGCATCCACCCAGCAGGTATATGTCGAAATTGATGTCTACGAGGGCTGTGAGGTTCTGGGAAAATCTCTCTGTTTGTATGCTAAAGTAGTGAAGAACTACATTGCAGCATCTAAATTTAAACTGATAGACACTATCTGGTAAGATCAGATCAGGATCATCCAATCATTTATCTCAACGCGAGATCACAGGTGGGTATTTATCTATTCATACTATAGTGATCTTGCTCCTGCTCTGCTTTATCCATCAAAGTACATACATCATCTAACTCCCCCTTCTCTCGCTACGCATAAACAACGTTATTCCGCAAGGTCCCAATCTGCGAGATGTGCACATCCATCTGAGTCCCCGGAACCAGCCACTTTGGGGGGTTGAAACCCGCGCCCACACCTACTCGCAGTCAGCTTCCTCAACACGCAACAGCAGATCAAAAAGGGTCCACTTACCTCCGGGGGTACCTGTCATGATTACACTGCCCTTCTGCAGCGTCGTGCCCTGGGACAGATAGGAGATCAAGTAGCGGCAGTCGAACAGCAGATCGCCCACCGTCTCATCCTGCCGAACCTCGCCATCGATGATGGTCCTGAGGTGCATCTACGACGGATCGGGGATCTCCGATGCCGCGACCAGCACGGGGCCCAGGGGCGCGAAGGTGTGGAAGCCTTTCGAGAAGCCCCACTGGGGGACGGTACCGGCGTAGGCGGGATCGCGCTGCAACTTCCGGGAGGAAATGTCATTGCCGGCCGTGTACGCCGCCACGTACTCGAGGGCACGCTCAACGGGGACATCCTTGGCGTCCTTGCCGATAACGAGACACTGCAGCCCGGTTAGGAGATCGCGGATAAAGGGAGAGGATGCGGTGAGACAAACTAATTCGCCCTCGTAGTCCGCTTGGTCGTCCTGCGCGATCCGCGGGATCACGACGGGCTCGCCGTGGTCATTCACGCAGGTGTTGGGCTTGAAGAAGATGAAGGGGAAGGGTGGGGGCTTGCGTCCGACTTCCTTGACTGCGGGAGCAGTTATATATTTGGTTAGGGAAAGGGGCTGGGCTCACAACGTACTGTGTTTGGCGTAGTTGAGGCCCACGCAGCGTGGAATGGGTACATCACTGGGGGCGAGCGGGGAGAGGATTTGTTTCACAGTCACAACCTCATCCGTCACCTTGGTCTTGCCCGTCGTATCGTAGATATCCTGGCCTTGGATGATGCTGGCTTGCAGCTGATCGGCTTCGGTGACCAGTCCAAGATTGATCGTGCTCTCCGCGGGCAAGATGGGCTCGCCGCGCAGGATGCGGCCATCGAGGGCGCGAAAGCGGATCAAACGTTTCCAAGGAAGAGACATATTCAGCTGGCAGATGTGGAAGATGGATTGTCACCGGCAGCCAGAGGACGACCAGAAGCCTGCGGAGTGTATTAACTACCTGTCTCCCATGTTAATAGCTCATCCGGTGGGCCGGGGAGTCATCGGGGAGAGAGCGGAACGGTTGCCTTAGTGGTCTCTCTACGGAACTCGGCCGGAGATTTGCATCAGTCCAGCCGAGAAAGCAATGCATGGAAGACCCCCGTTGTTCCCCGGCAGAAACCTTTCCCCGCAAATGACGGGAAGGTGTGGGGGGAGTCGGGGGACATACGCGGCGTTGTGCCACAGTTTTATGGGAAGGAGACAGATTACATAGGCGTATCACTGTACCTGGCAAATGCTATAAGCGTCCCCTTCAATAGGGATTCTCCTTTTACAGGTCATCCCACAATAATACACATCCAAGATGTCCGAGATCAGAGCGTGCTTTCCTGATCGCCCTCAATTTTTGGGGTTCATGAAGCCCTGTCGGGTGGAAGGAGATGTATCCCAATTGGAAGTGTACGCTGAAATCCCCAAGGAGATCGATGGAGTCTTCTATCGGGTAATGCCCGATCCTCAACTGCCTCCCTTCATCGAAGATGATCCCGTAAGGAACCTCCTTCCCCAGGCTTCCAGCAAACTGACAAGAGACAGTGGTTCAACGGGGACGGAAATGTCGCCGCCTTCCGCATCCACGACGGCCGAGCATCCTTCCGGCAACGGTACGTGCGGACGGAGAAGTTCGTGCGAGAGCGCGAGGCTCAACGGGCACTGCTCGGTTAGTGATCAGCTGGCTCCCGCGAGAACAAACGCACCCATCAAAAGCTGACAATCTCGACCAGGCAAATACCGAAATAAGTTTACCGATGCAGTGGAGTTCAAAGTCCGCAGCACCGCCAACACCAATGTGGTCTTCTTCAACGGGCAGCTGCTGGCACTAAAGGGGGATTCTCCCCCTTACGCCATGGATCCCGTCACGCTGGAGACCAAGGGGCTCTATGACTTTGAGGGCCAGCTGCCCAGTCTCACCTTCACCGCGCATCCAAAGTTTGATCCGGTCACGGGCGAGATGGTCTGTTTCGGATATGAAGCGCGGGGGGATGGGACACCCGACGTGTGCTACTACAGAGTCTCGCCCACCGGCCAATTCATGGAGGTGGTCTGGCTGGTCGCGCCGGTGGTGGCGATGATCCATGACTTTGCCGTGACGGATAACTGGGTAAGTGACCTGTTTCTCGAAATGGCAGTGGGATATCAGGCTAATGCCAGACACAGGTCGTCTTCCCGATCATACCTCAAGTGTGTGACATTGAACGCATGAAACAAGGAGGAGACCACTGGCAATGGAGCCCCGAGACCCCGTTCTACTTGGGGGTCATGCCACGACGGGGCGCCAAAGCCGAAGATGCCAAGGTACCTATGCCAGTCCCTCTCCTGCCCTCTGTCTGCAGTAAGAGCAACTAACACCGATGCAGTGGTTCCAATATAAGAATTCCTTCCCGGGCCACACGGCCAACGCCTACGAGGATGAAAACGGCCATCTGGTGATCGACCTGGGCTTAAGTGAGACAAACGTGTTCTTCTGGTGGCCCGATGCCCAGGGAAGCGCACCCGAGTCCAGCTTGATTCGCTCCCAGCTGGTCCGATTCACCCTCGATCCCCAGACTGAGGATCTCGCCCTTCCCGAACCTAAAATGCTGCACCAGGGCAACTCAGAGTTCTACCGGATCGATGACCGGTTCGCCACCCATCCCTATCGCCACTGCTGCTTCGATCTGATGGACCCGCAGCTGGGTACCGATTTCGAACGGATTGGACCCAAGCTCGGGGGTGGTTACCCCTTGTATAATGCCTTGGTCCACTTCGACAACGCCACGGGGCAAACAGAGGTCTACTTCCCCGGAAATACCCATCTGGTCCAAGAGCCGGTCTTTATCCCCCGGAAGGACTTGACCACGGAGGGAGATGGGTATATTCTGGCGCTGGTCAATAACTATGAGACTATGGCTAGTGAGCTCCATCTTCTGGACACGCGAGACTTCACTCACGCGCAGGCCAAGTTCCTGCTTCCGGTCCGCTTGCGCCAGGGTCTACATGGAAGCTGGGTGGATGGGAGAGATGTCAGGCCACAGACAGAGTAATTGTAATAGAATCAGCGGTCCTCAGTGCCGTTCAGTCAAAGGAATAGAAATATTCAAATTGATAGATTATCTTACTGAACACGAAGATTGTGGCCTTTTGTTTTCAACGAAAGAGCAAGAACAGTGGTGCTGTTCCAGAGCCTTCCTTGACTGTTCGTGATTGAGGACCGGAGATGCGGTCGATCCTGATATAGTCTACCAACGTTTCAACGCCGGTGCGTGCGTGATATTCGTAAACAAGTCATCCAACAGAAATTCTCCACATTCCATGCCAAAGGACGAAAAGTTAAAGCCCAGGGTGGCGCTGCTCATGGCAGGACCAGTCGGGTCTTCCGCTGTGCAATCTGATTAGTGTCATCAAGTCCACCACGGTGCACAGAATCCCTTACGCTGTAAACGCAGGACAGAGATTAACTGCTCAAGATAGTACCTGCAGCGGTCCACCATCCGATTGCCCGTATCCAGTCAATACAGAGTTGCGACAGCGCGACCAGGATAGAGCTGCATATTGGCGGGCTGGTGCACGGGGGAAGCTTGGGCCGACTGCCTTGCGCGCTGTACCCAGGTGGCCCCAATAATGACCAGTGCCGCGTTGAACGCTGTCCCCCAAGACAAGAAAGTATGAGCAACCGGCAAACTGGAATGGAAGCGAAGAGGAAGGGCAACTTACTATAATACAAAGAGTACCACCACGCCCCTAGAAGATCGCGCTGCCACCCTGTTGCAGAGACCAGTTCGTGGATTATGTCGATAATGTTCATGGCCGATTCGACGCACTTGTTCATGCTACTGTGGCCGATCTCATTCAGAATCCGCTCTTGGCCAGGCTCCAGACCGGAGGCGAGGCTCGCGTCGAGAAACTTCACCAGGATGGGCCGATGCAGCAGGATCTGGGTGTGGAGATATCGCAGGGTGAGGATAACCCGGGACTTCAGGGAGAACGGCCGCGGCTGGTTCTCCGACTGCTTGATTTCCTCGCGCAGCCCCTGCAGCGTTAATTGATGAAGGCTCTCCGGAAGCGCCATGACCCACGAGAACAACTGATTCTCAATCGACAGCACCCGGCCCACCGTCTCACCAACCGACAGGCCAGGGCCACAGCCCAGATTTTGGCCGTAGACCTGGTCAATGACGTTGCCCATCTGCTTGTACAGGGTTCTGGTCAGGGTCAGTCGGTGCGGGCAGTCGAACTGGGGGAGGTGTGGGGGCCAACTGACATGGTGCTATTAAAGAACTGGATGCTGTGACGGATGGTCTTGTCATCGACGAACGGTTCGCCCTGGCCAATACTATCGATGACGGGGAGGTCCAGCTGAACATAACTGTCGGGGATCGCGGGCGGTCGTCCGAAGGTCATGCTTAAGGTTCTATGAGGCTGTTTAGTCGGAATCCACGCCCAACGCAAGCACGGAGAGGGGCGCATACCGATCCAATACCACACAGCCAAACCATGTTCTTTTTCGTATCTCGCGCTCAAGAGGGGAGAACGCCTGGGAGGCATCTTTCGAATATAGCCCGAGCTGCAGCGCGGCCTTGACGGCGAGTCCGTGCACGGTCCACGCCTGGACGGATTTCTGCGTCCCCTGGAGATACTGGCCCATGAGCAGGAGATACTGTACTACAGGAAGGTCAGTTCGCTACTACGCCAGAGTCGGGGGACAAGGTGCATCAACCCACCGACTTCCAGGGTCGTCCCTCGCGGCATTTCGCCCCGGCACAGGTTCAATGCCTGCCGATAGTAGACGGTGGATTCTTTGATCCGCGTTTCCGCCGGGGCATGGCCGGACACGGCGGTTACCTTGGCCATGGCCAGCATGATGCTCAGCAAGCCCAACCAGGTTCGGCGGACTTTCTTGGCATTGTTCTTGAATTCATCATATGTCTCAAGAAAGGTCGGGGGGTGAATGTACGGGAACAGCAATCCCGTATCGTAAAAATACTGGCGAATCAGCCGTAATGTCTCCTCGGACGAGGGCAAGGTGGGATTCGTCACGAGCCCGGGCCGCCCAGCCGTGGGCGTGAAGCCCGACAACGGCGATGGCGGCCGGGTGGCGCTGACGAAGCCGCCATCATAGGCAATTTGATCGATCCGGGGCGTGTTGATTTGATTTTGGCTGCTTTCGCGGTGCGACACTGCGCGGGACAGGTGCCGCAGAAAGGCGATGTTCGAGGATGGGCCTGCAGCAGTTTCCAGTTAGCTTAAGCGTTGGACGGATGGGAGACGCATCGCCTTCACCGAAATACCCGCAGTCCTCCTCATCCGCGAAGGTTACCGCGCCCATGGCATCAATGGGGTCCTCAGGCCCTGCCAGGTCGGCCAGGGGCTCATGGCAGGGCTCTAGTTGACCTTCGCTTGGCGGGCTTCTGCTGGTCATTTGCGCCGCTAGTCCCGACAGGTCCGATCGCATGGTGGTGAGGTTTTTCTCGAGCGACTTCACCCGGGACTCCAGATCTTTGAGGTAGCTTAGGACCGATTAGCACACACTCACACACACAGCAGCAACAACAACGGGATGTTTCAAGGCTCACTCTTTTTGCACAATCACATTTGTGGCGGTGACTGGCGGGGTATAGACACATTCGAACCCCAGGTCTTTGCACATGCCACACTGGGGCCGGATGCCATCACACTAGGGACAGCAGCGATCAGTGGGAGGGCTCATCTTTGCTGCACGGCGGTCCCCGGATGCCCTACCTACCCTGGACTTTCGCGTGCGACATACATCGCGGCGACGTTTGCCCGGTGGCCCCTGGAGAGAAAGTTGATCGGACGGCGGCTCCATAACGGGGGGCGGGTGGCCTTGATGCTTGCCTGTGGCTTGGCTCAGCTTCTGCTCAGCTGTCTCTACCGGGCCCGTGCAAGGGGAAGGAATGGAACCGGGACTGGGGACGGGGAAAGAGGCAAAAGGGTAAGCCGGCAACCGGGAAAGTCTGGATGTTGTACCTCGGCTGAGTAAGACCAGAACTACTCAGGTAGTTAGTTAACTAGACTGGCTGACCAATCTGCACTTTGATTGGATCTAAGTAAGCCCTAATCCAACCTGCCACTAAATGCATTAACCATATATGGGATAACCCACGGTTCCTGGCGGGTGTAGTTAGGGAGGGGTAGAACTAGAGCATGGAATTTCGATCGGTCCTCACATCGTTCCTCAAAGACATGGGGGTTGGAACCGAGGGACAAGGAAATTCCCCTTTGAGAGAAGACACAGAGAGCAATATTTCCAATATAACCCCATGCTAAACTCCCCCAAATCCTTTCCGCAGTTCCCCCTCCTCCCCGTGGAGATCCGGCGGATGATCTGGGCTGCCTCCCTCCGCCACCACAGTCCGCCTCGCCTCTATGAGGACACTAGGGGATCCCTTATGATACCCATCGATCGCTCAGCAATGATGGCTGAGGAACGGTATATCCTCTCTACCTGCCGCGAGGCCCGCGATGTGGCCCTGAAGCTCCTTCCAGATACAATCGCCCTCGCAGGTGGCAGCATGATCCGCTATAACTCGAGCGCCGCTGCCCCGACCGCCGGGCAGGGGCCGGAGCAATGGCTCGACATCCTCTCCAAGGCGCGTAACGCCGCGAAGTGTGAGTTTGATTTCCTAGTGGTTCGGCCAGGTGGCAAGTGGGCCCAGGACGAGGACGACGGAAGCCAGCAGTTTTGTGGGCAGTTCTCCGACCCGTTCGGCGGTGAGGATTACTTCTTCAAGGCGCAGGCCACGGACGGGTCCTGGTGGACTTACGACGATCAGAAGGGTTTCCTGATGGGGGTGTTCATGTCCTTCCTCAGTGCAAAGGGTGGGGCGGTTCGCGAGCAGCTAGGGTTCGGAGGGGCTTTGGATGGGAGACTGATCAAGTTGTTTGTGGATGTGTCTGATAATTGTTGAGGGGAGGATTTGCCCCTTTGAATCAATAGCCTGGACTGAAACGTGCATCCGAGTTTATTACTTCCCTTTCTCTGACTACGTTGGTTTCAGGGCATTGAGTGATGAGCTTGTCTTACTTATCTAGGCTTAGACAGAAATATATTTCTCTATATGTAGGCAGAGAATAGTCCTATTGTATATCTATATAGACTAAAATATATATATCCTAGTGGTATGGCTAGAATACTACGGGTCGCCTGACTAGCTACCTAGTTGTGGTCCATGGATATATCCATTACTCCATTAGCTACAGTCCAACGGCAACCGACTACTCTGACACAATACCTTCATTAGTTAACTATTCTACCTAAAGGTAATGAACTGCATAGAGCACCTCCCTCTTCAGTCGGAGATTAGTTTCTCGGTATCAACCTCAGCTGACCGATAGAAGCCCAGCGCCGTGATCATCGGCTTATCGTCGAAGCGGTAGAGATAGACCGTCTCGCCCACATCGGCAAAATGCTGGTAGGCATGCCAGGAGGGTACACAGAAGGTGTCTCCCGCTTTCCATTCCAGCGTTTGGCCTCCGACCTCCGAGCGACCCTTGCCGGCGATGACATGATAAACGGCGGACAGGGTGTCTTGCCGGCGTGGGGACGACGTGCTCGCATTCAGCCTCTCTGCGCAGCTGCCCAGAACACGACTCACTGATCGTACCCCCCTCCGCTAGTTCCATCCGTGCAGCATGGCGTCGGAAGCGGCTTACCTTCTCGACCATCGGCTTTCAGATAGCGCTGTGTGGCCCAATTGCCCTCCGTCTCATCCAAGCGAGCCTTCATCTGGTCCCAGGGAAAGACAATGGGAGAGGCAGACGTGTCGACATCCTCGGCCGGGTAGCGAGGCTCGCTATAGTGCTCGACAGAATGGACCGGGAAGTGTCAGAAGTTGGGCAGATCCAGGCCGTCCAGCCAGATCATCGGGCCGCTGCCGTCCTTGCCATGGTCGTGGTAGTTCCAAGTAGGCGTCAGTATCACATCTCCCTTCTGCATGCAGATGCGTCTCCCATGCACCGCTGTAAATCCCCCGTTGCCCTTGATGATATAGCGCATCGCAAACGCGGTGTGTCGGTGCGCTGGCGCGGTCTCATTCGGCATGACTAGTTGCAGGCCGGCGTAGAGCGTATCGGTGGTGTACGGGGCATCTACTCGGTTGGGGGTGTCACTAACAGGTCTAGAGAGACCACCGGCCCAACCAATCCCAAAGGGGCATACCTCGAGCCGGGTTCACCAGCATCAGGACTCTCCGCTCCGCCTGCTTTTCGGTGACCAGGTGACCGGCACGAAGCAGGTTGGGGCGGATGCTGTCATACTTCCACACAAAGGGAACGGCGGTGTCGTTCGGTTTCGGGGGGTTGAGTCTCGTCATCTGGGTCCAGAGGGGCAGGGTCTTGCTGGCCTCGAGATCCTGCAGCAGTTGCGCCGCGCTGTCCGCGTTCTGGGGAGGCGTGTCCATCATGGAGGGAGCCATCGCGAGGGTTCGCAGGATTATAGAATCCGGCAACGTTTAATACAGCTCCTCCGAAGTCGATCACTGGGCGTTCGCCCGGGAACTTATGCCTTGTGTGGAAGGCGGATGATGAAATGCCTGTCGGGCATAGAACGGGTAGAGGCACACGGCGGGGAGAGGTCGGGTCGGCCTACAGCCCGAACCCACCCCTCAATCAGTAGTCAAGTACCTTGTAGTTATAAGAGGCTACCTCGAGTTCATCTCCAGTACGGGCCACATCATCAAGTTATACGATACAGGAACGTCTCCCTGTCAATACAGATTTTGCCATGGTTTCCAGAGAAGGGCCGGGCGCGGCTCCCAATCACCAGTCACTCACGGTAAGTGTGTTGGCAGTCAAACGACATGGCATGATCATCTTTCTGACAACCGAAATTGAGAACAGATGCCAACCTACCCCGGCAACTGCCTCCAGTTTGCAAAGACGCTGGACGGCGTCCTTCCCAGTTCCCCCAAGCCCACGGGCGCGCCAGTGCGATTGAGCATCCTTCTTGTCGGTGCGGGTCTAGGAGGCCTGGCCACGGCCATTGCTCTCACGCAAGCCGGCCACAACGTCACCGTCTACGAGCAGACGGCCGTGCTGGGGGAAGTGGGTGCGGGAATTCAAATCCCGTCCAACTCGACCCGCATCTTGTTTGAGCTCGGGCTAGAGCCCTACCTGAAGCCTCACGTCACCTCGCCAGAGTCTATCTCCTTCCGTCGATGGCAGAATGGGAAGGTGATTGGAAAGACCAGGCTGCTTCCGGACTTCATCGATAACTTTCACGCGGCTTATTACGTGATCCATAGGGCGGACTTTCACTCGGCGTTGTGTCGGAAAGCCAAGGATATGGGTATTGAAATCCGGCTGGGGGCAAGAGTCGCCAATTATGATCCGGTGCTGGGTAGCATCACCCTGGAAGACGGCACAAGTCACACGGGAGACCTGGTCGTTGCGGCAGACGGTACGTCTTCCCTTGCTACCTTTTTCTATGGCCACGTGAGCTGAGAGGATGGCAGGCATCAAGTCTGTGGCTCGGAAGGTGGTCCTCGATGGTGAGGAGATGCCTTTCCTAAAGCCCGGCTTCGCTGCGTATCGGGCGGTCGTTGACGCGAACCGGAAGCGAAATGACCCCGACGTGTCCTGGATCCTGGAACGACCCGCACTGAATATTTGGTAGTGTCTTCACTTGTGGGGGAGTTCCCCAGGAAGTCCTCTTTGCTCACGCTAGACCACAGGATCGGCGACTCGAGACACGCCATGACCTATACGATTGGGGCAGGCAAAGCCTTCAACATGGTGCTCTCGCACCGGGATACCTCCGACCCAGCCACGTGGAACGCGCAGACGGCCCTGCAGGATATGAAGGCCGAGTTCCAGGGATGGGACCCTGTGTGAGTCTCCTCATGCATGTCTATACGACGTCCCCTTGCTCACATGTACCCACAGCCTCACCAAGATTATTGGGATGGTGGAGAAGACGATCAAATGGCCCTTGATAAGCGGCTCCTTGCTCACTCGCTGGACGAGGGGCAAGTTGGTCATTCTGGGCGATGCGGCTCATGCGATGTTGCCGTATATGTCGCAGGGTAAGATGTACACCCATCTGGAGTGAACCCCATTGACTAATCCGTCATAGGTGCGGCGATGGCCGTGGAAGACGGCGTGGCTCTGGCGCGCTCCTTATCCCACATGCGGTCCCCGGAGCAGCTGTCCGAGGCATTAGCCATTTTCGAGAAAGTGCGGGTCGTACGGGCGAGCCAGATGCAGGAGGCCAGTCTGCTCAATGGCCAGCTGTGGCATTTTGCGGATGGGCCCTTGCAGGAGGCGCGCGATGCGGCCATGGCGCGGGAAGTGGAGGGTCTCCCCTTCAGTCACAGTCCAAATCAATGGGGTGATCCGGCTACGCAAATGTGGTGCTATGGCTACGAAACTGAGCGCGATATTGACTGGGCATGGACGGAGGGAGAGGGGGTTGCTGAAAGAGTAGAGAGTCGATACCGTAACATGTTATGACCTATCCTGTTCGGCTGAATCCCGCAATTTAAGGAATTCAGCACATCTATCACCAGTAGCTAGCTGCCTAAGTGCCGCTTACGACGTGTCTACCTGTCAACCAGAATATGCCTATCATTTCTACTATGCTAGAAATGGTCGTCTAGACACCTTTTTGGCGTAGTGGAAAAATGGCTGACACTACCTTACTAAGCTACCGGGCGATCCAATTGGAACCTCCTGGGGCTGGCCTCATTTCCCAGCAGTACATCACGGCAGACCCCACAATAACCCCCTTCTCACATATAGCACCCAGGGAAGCTTACAATGAGGCTTCGGGCCAGGGGTATACCTAGGCAGTTATTTCTCAGTCCCAGTCCTATCCCGCTCAATTTTTTGAACGCGACTCGCCTGTTCGGAGCCAGACAAAGATATCGGGATATCCCCCATCAGGCCTTCTCCTCCATTCCACCAGCAACAACCTCGCCTATCTGCCTGAGCCAAATGGAAAATCACACTCGGCCACCGGCTCAATTCCCTCCCGTGCAGAGACTGTCTCCACGCCTCCCGGACAGGAGCCCCACGCTCACCCCGGCCGACCGAATCGAGCGGGATCTCCACGAAGATGGCCTTCGCGACTGGGGCTTTGTTATTTACCGGTGTACCTACCAGAGCAATACAGCCTGGGTCGAGTTTATGCGTCGGCTACTCGCCAATACCAAGGACACGCTGGAAAGTTGGGGGGACCTCGATTTACTTGATAATCTAGCCCTGACCGTGATTGAAGACTCGAGAAGCTTGGACGGGGCTACTACGGCTGTGATTCGACAGCATTTTCGGCAGTGGGTGGCGACCGCAGTGCAAGAAGCACCGGATGCTACTAGCCCGCGGCTGCAGTTGTCGCAACGATACAATTTCTGTCTGCAGATTACGCAGGATGTCTTGGACTCTGTCCTCACCGATGAAGAGGAGGGGGGGTTTGTGCGACTTATTCGAAGGGACTGGAAGGAGTATGACCCGTTCTATGAAGGGGAAAGGCTTGAGGACGAGGAAGAGGCGATTGAAGGGTGTACTTTGGAAGACGTGGGGTGGATGAAGGTCCCGTTCGATGGTGTGATGGTTGTTCCTTGGTATTACTTGCGTGGAGCGGGTTGGGAGCACGAGTATCGTCGTCCGCCCGAGATTGCTCCTTTCTGATAGTCGACTTGATAACGCTTTGAGGTGGTATGGGACATGACAGTCGTTCTTTTGACTAGACCTGATCAAGCTTGAAGACGCCGAATCAATCCACGAGTTGGGCATGCTTGTCGGTTCTGTCTGGAGGTGCCCAGACGCATTGATCAGAGACGTACCTGTGGAGGGGATAAGGTGAAGGCGGGAATGTGATAGATCGCGCATCGTGTCGTTCACTGCAGATGTGAAATGCCTTATAGTAGTTTCCGAGGGAAGATCCGTCAATACCGTGGGTCGAATTGTCGTGTCTATATGAAAGGGTAGTAGAGTATCTGCGCTGGTATAGGCGCTAATAACGCCGAGTAATATACTATTTACCGTGTCATTCTTCGTCTTATAACGTAACCTAGAAGCGGCAGATGTTTGCTATAGTGATATACTGTCGCATATCCTCCCAGAACTTCCGCGCAGCTTCCTCCTGCGACTCAACGGGGGTGTTATCATTGATGGAGCCGGAAGCCAAGTTTGCATGGGTTCCATTTCTCTTGCTGAAAGCTGCAAGAGCATCGTTTTTTGCCTGTGAGTTGACTTGCAAATAGACATTCTTTTTCCCGTCTTTGGACTAGTCAGCGTCTAGGCGGAGTTGGTAAATGGAATCATTATCCTTTATCTGCGCTGGTGCAATGCGTTTGCGGGGGTTTGTTTCTGGAATAGTTTTTTGTAAAGCCCTCCCTTGAAAATCGCGTCTTCAAATTGCTTCAGGACCTTGGACATCTTGTTTGACAAAGCTCTCAGGAGAGGAACATAAAAGGACGAGAACAGGTTCGGTTTCCAAGGAAGCGTTAGACAAAATAAAAGGAAGAGTGCAGTGTTGAGATGTTTCTGAGGATCCCAAAGGCAACTGGAGATTGAAGTGTTTATATAGACTGACACACATCCGGGACGGGTACTTGGGGTAAAGAGGGTCAAAATACGAAAATATAAAGTGAGTACATTCAGTTTCCTCGCCAGGGTAGAACCTACCTGCTTAAAACAGGATAAGGTCTTGTTTAAGATCATTAAACATAGAAGTTAGTCCATGAAATAGATAGCTACACTAATCTAACTGCTGTGGTGAACATCTCCCGATCAAGGCAAAGAAAGAGAAGAGGGTTTCAAATTCTTTACATTCCTCTTTGCCCTTCAACTAAGATAGTGGCAGCGCCTCATGTGTTCCTGCAGATTATCCCCCCGATTAAAGACAGCAGTGCAGTCTTCCACGAGGCAGGGATGCGCGCCGGGCGAGATATGTAGTGTTTTGATATGGCGTACAAGGTCACATTCGCGGCCGAAGGCGCCGTGATAGCGGCAGCCTTCCCACTTGCATTGAAAGAGGCCTGAGGCCGTGTTTTGCGAACTGTGACACAAGCGCAATGTTAATTAAGATGCAACCTTATGCTGACGATGGAAGAGCAGGAGGAGGAGAAGAGGAAGAATAAGACGAAGACTACATACTCTGTGGTTCGGCGGCGTTGCCGAGTCTTTTGTCGCTGCCCGATCACGCTAGTGTCCTGCGTGTTCTGCGTGTTCGGCTGTCCCTGGGGCGGCAGATGACTGAGTGGGGAAAAGGGGTGCAAAGCGACAGCAGGCTGAGAACAATTGCTGGAACGAAGATGTGCCCGGGGATTTGGGTCGGGATTATTCGGGCTGTCGATCACAACAGGCCCCCATTGGCTTGTGTTCTGACTCGGAGCAGGTACGGCGCTAAACCATGCAGCAAGATTGGCATCACCGGGACTAAGTTGGCTTAGTTGTAGCTGGTGTGGATTACATGTAGTCTTGGTAGGGGGAGATGGTAAAACGTCGGGTCCAGAGGTTTGGGGAAACGTGCAAAAATCGGTTGGCTGCCCAGGGACATAGTCCTCTGCCAGGTCGGGATAATTGGCCGCCCACCCCATTGTGAAGAAAGGTAGCTAGGCTAAGTACTGTAAAAACGATGATTAAGCACAAGAACTGGAGGAATAGAAACAAAGGTAGAATCATCCTCCGATCAGATGGAAGAAAGGAAGAGGTCTTAATATAGTATAGACCCCCAGGCGGATCTTGTCAAGTTTCTCTTTCCCATGTTGACTTCCTAGTTTTGTCTACACTGATCATCGAGGCTTTCTGGTAAATCGCCTTGTGTCGGCAAAGGGATCGATCCGATATTTGAGAACGGACCAATCAGAATTATAAGATACGACCTCTGGTGAGCCATGGGCCTGGAGGGAAACATTACATGGAAGCTCTTTAGTTTGTCTTAGGCTGAACTTAGCGACGCCTCAGGCTCAACTAATGTTGTTTCAAGGCGTCAGAATGGAGAACCATAGACGAATAGCAGACGCGCAGCGCTGCAGGAGAATACACGTAGACTCCAATCATCAATCTGGCGTCTTGGCGTGAGATGCATCGATATTTGAGACTCGGCCAATGAGAATAAGTTTGGGCCTGAATCTTACCTCACCGTCTCTTTGGACGAGAGCCTCGCTCCTGGTAATAAGGCTCACCTGTGACGATTGCTGTGTTGTGCCCTGCCTTATTTAAAAGTGACAGCCCAGCGTTCTATCCTCTCCCTCCTCCCTCCTCACAGCAGTTCTTTTCGGTCGAGTCCTGATTACAGAAGCTCTTTTGCAGTATTCTTTTCCTCAAAAATCCTCAGCAAACGTCAGCGCTCATAGCCATGGCAGACACGGAATGGGAAACGTTCAGGGCGGAGATCGAGCGTCTTTACATATCGGAAAAGAAAACCCTTCCTCGGGTCATGGATGCTATGAAATCCATGTATGGCTTCGAGAGATCGTACGTGCTGAGATACTATACTACTGGACTTGTATATACATAGCTGACAAGGAAACAAAAAACAGCAGTACCAACGCCAATTCAAGAAATGGGGGTTGAAAAAGTACGAACTACGAGCAGCAGACTGGAAGGTCATTGGGAGACGAGTCGAGAAGAGAAAAAGAGAACACGGCAAAGAAACCGAGGTCTTCTTTGACGGCATTCAGCATCCACCCGAGAAGGTGAGGAAAGTGAGTTACAAACAGGCTTTTGTGTCCGTAAGAGACCAATTCCTTGGTGGTGAGCCTCCTCTGCCAAAATGCCGCTCAGTACGTTTCTAATAAAGCCCTAGGCCCGTCCCCATATACCCCTGAAGGGGTCGTGGTCTGTACCCCAGCATCACCGGGCATGCGTCTTCAGTGGGACGCATCTCTCCCTTGGCTACGATTCTCCAAACTGCTCCAACCAGCACAGGGCCAAGGTACGAGACGACGGAGCCGTTCCTTCCTTCGACTTGTGGTAACTGTCCTATAGATAACGTATCGTCCAGCCTCGCAGCCTCACCTCGGAGCGCTGAGGTTTCATCCCACAAGGAGAACCTGGATTTAATGCAAATACTTGGCTCAATCGTGCCCTGGAACAAGCTCAGCCAACCTCCGAATATAAAAAGTAGCTCCCGAATAGCCACGGCTCTCAGCATACTGATGCCGGAAGACTTTGAGGGCCAGCATCACACTCTTTCTGCAAGGCTGTGCGACATCAATCAAACAGGCATGGATCGTCTGCATCTGGAGCTGTTTCTGTTATCGAACAATCTTTGCAACGCAAGTCTCGAGTGATGTATCCGGCGCAAGCATGGATTCAAATGACAAGCGCATTATGCAAATGTTCAAAACGTCTGGTTGGACCAGCCTGAAGCGTCTGCAGATCCTTCTATCAACGCCAGAGCCAACAGCTGGCGCCATAGCTGAGCAGCTCTTTGCAAGTGCATTGAGATTGGTCGACCTGGACACTGTGGAGATGATGCTCAGGGCCGGCATGAGTCCAAATAATCCGATTGAGACCGTCCGCTATGGGGCGCTTACGCCCCTGCAATTTTCCGCGTCGATTGCGTGGGAGGAAGACACGGGCCTTATGGACCTACTTCTATCTCATGAGGTTGATGTGAACTTGTCATACAATGGGAATTCCGCCCTCCACTATGCCATCCGAAGCGATTGTGAACAGGCAATGCGAACACTTCTGTCCCATGGCGCTATTGTTTCGCCGTCGTGTCTTCGTGATGCTGCGATGTATGACATGAGCAGCATTGAGATCTTCAGGGACTTTGTTGATGCATGCGAGGATGTGAACGCACGAACAGGGTGGCAGGATATAAGTGCCCTTGCCCAAGCTGTGGAGTCCCGAAACGTTGCAATGATAGACATTTTGCTTGCTAAAGGTGCTGACGTCAATTCCCTGGTGGCTATAGAGTTTGATGACGACTGGGGAACAACCACTGTTCTAGGCCTTGGCGTCACGTCAAAGAAGCTTGAAATCATAGAGCCTCTATTGCGCGCTTGTGTGAATGTCAACCCAGATGTGGATGGGCTGCCTTTGGTTTCGCCCCTCGCGCTAGCTGTCGAGGTTGGATGTTTCAAAATCACCCAACTTTTGCTCGAGGCAAAATTGGACGTTGCAGCTGCTGATGGCGGTGGAAAAGTAACTCTTCTTGAGCGTGCCGTGAAGAAAACCAACGTGGATTTGTGCAGATTGTTGATAGCTCATGGTGCCAAGGTAGATAGACCTTGGAATCATGAGGAACAGAGCTCGTCCGCTCTCCTTGTTGCACTGGAAATGAGCAGCCTTGAAATCGTCAACTTGTTGATCACCTGTGGAGCACGACTGAATGATGTCTACAGCAGAGCCCCTGGAACTGTGCTTGGCGCCGCCATTGAAAAAGGAGACCGAGCACTGCTTCATATGCTGCAGAGTGCTGGAGCGTCCGTGTTCCCCCCAAAGCTACGCCGTATCGGAAACATGGAGACTGCTATATATCTGCAGCAAAGTGGAATATTGCAGGGTATTTTGCAGATATGCGGACGCAGTATTCTGACGGCTGCAATATTAGCAAAAGACCATGAACTAGTGCAGTACCTGCTTGACATCAACATCAACATCAACTTCCTAGCTACGACTACAGATGTTGAATGTTCTAACTCTGAGCAAACACCACTGGGAGCAGCAATCCAGACACGCAATTTCTTTGTTGCTGAGGCTATCCTTCAACGGGACGCCAGGGTCACTGACAGTGACCTCAGTCATGCAGTCGCTGCTACTATTTCTGACGACAACCGTACTCAATTCCTGGCGCGCTTACTGACAGGCTTCCTTGGAAAGACTCCTACGGCAGTTGGTAATACGATACTGCTCGGGAGATGCGACCTCCTGCAACTCATTCTAGAGGCAGGCGTGGACCCCACAGGAGCGCCACAGATGTTTGAGGAGGTTTGGGATCTGGATGGATTTTGTCTGGATACCCCTGAGTCGGCACTCGAAATAGCAGCAGAGCAGGGCGATAGGTCTATGCTGCAGATTCTTCTTCAGTCCGCCCCGTGGGACCCAAGGTCAACTGGCCGTGCTTTGACAATTGCGGTCTTTTTGGGTCAGAATGACTTGGCGGAGGACCGGCTAAATTTCAGGCCGGACGTGAACCAAGAAATAACGGTTTTCTATCCGGATGATGAGGATGAATATGGAGACATGGTAGAAGCAAGGAAGGAGGTCTTCACTCCTCTTCAGGCTGCGGTCAAAATGCAGCAGGTTGCCGTGGCGCGGAAACTAGCTGAGCACGCCGATATCAACTACCTAGGCGAAGGTGCTCATCGCCGCACGGCCTTGCAACACGCAGTCGACAACGGAAATATGGAACTGGTAAATATGCTTCTTGCTCACGGGGCTGACGTCAACGGGGCCCCTGCTACCGACGGTGGCGCTACGGCATTACAGATCGCGGCCATTCGAGGATACCTTGGCATCGCCCGAAGACTGATTGACCTAGAGGCAGATGTCAATGCAGCTCCTGCAATATTCAATGGACGCACAGCGCTGGAGGCAGCAGCCGAACATGGTCGGATCGATATGCTTCAGATGCTTCTTAATGGCGGGGCATCAATCACCGGCGATGGCGAACAGCAGTAACAGCGTGCCTTGGATCTTGCGGAGAGGAACGGGCATAATGCTGCTGCAAAGCTTTTGACATTCTTTAAGCACCGAGCACAGTCTAGCTCTCCCTAATCAGTTTGGAGGATATTAGGAAGCACCAGCGGACGGTGAGATGGTGCAGCTCGCGCTGTAAGAGCAAAGGCTTTCACTGTAGGGGGGTAGCCGACGCGTTTTAACTGCCTTCATAAAAGTCGAACCAATTTAGCCCACCGCCATGCCACTAAGAGTGTATACAAATTCAAAAGTGTATAGTAAGTAAACAAGAACGATCATACTTGTAGTATCAGATCTGAAAAGAAGGAAATCTGCGATCATAAAGCTATACATGGCTTCATATGGCCCATGCGTTGGAGTGTGAGTCAAGTCAAGTGAGACACAAGCCACGAACAAACAAAAATGTTGACTCTCCTTCATGAAATAGTGCGATGAAATGAACCACCTAGTATTTCTCCAAGGTGGCGAACCAGTTCTTGAAAAGCTCCACCTTCTTGCTCGAGACAACCCTGATTTGACCCCATCCGTCACCAACATGCTGAACAAGCTCCGACGACTTAACGGCTGGCCACGAGACCAGGCCGTCACCATTCGGATTTCCGGTTTTGATAAAGTTGGCCCAGTATTGATTCATAGTCTTGGCTATGGTATAGTCTTCCGTAGTCCAGGGCTTGTCGGTGGCGTAGAGGTTGTTCAGAACATAGTTGATTTCGGATTTATGATAAGCACCAGAGCTCTGGCCAGGAGGAGCGTGGTCCCAGAAGTAGTTGTAAACCGGGCTCTTCCGGGCAGTAGCCCAAAGCTGGGACCATAACAAGGTGCCGACCTTGGATCGGTCAGTGAACATGGAGTTGTAGGCACCAGAGGCCGTGGTCGAGTCGTTGGCCGGATACAACTCCAGGAAGCGCTCCGCCCAGACACCACTGTAAGTCTCGTTCACCTCCGAGAGATATTCTTCCAAGCTGATGTTCAGACCGTAGGTTGCGCCACTTTCGTCCTTGGTGTTTCCAGTTAGCACCGGCACATCGTTGGCTAGCCCCTTCACCAGAGTGTTCCAATACGTATCGGGCATGGCATAGTAATCCAGAGTCGCTTTAAACATAATCGTATCTTCCCGACTGGAGCCAGAGGCACCGTCGATCACTTGCTGCATGGTCAGGTTACGGGCCTCAGCGATACTGGACACGTTTAACTTTGAAAGGTATGTCTGACCCGTCTCAAGAGCATCGCTCTGAGTTACGTATCCTTCGGCGAGGCTCGTACACAAGGGATCCTCGGGGTCCCGAACACCACTCTCGATGATGGCTCCCACAAATAAACCCTTGGTGAGCTTGCTGTTCAGGATGTGCTGACTCGCGGCAGAGCCGGCGGACTGGCCCATGACAGTGATATGGTCGGGGTCACCACCAAACGCATCGATGTTGGCATGAATCCACTTAAGTGCAGCAAATTGATCGAGCATGCCCCAGTTACCCGAGCTGTTGGAGCCAGTGACCTTCTCGAACTCCGCCGAAAGCTCAGGGTGAGCGAGCCAGCCAAACGCGCCAGTTCGGTAGTTGTAGTTGACAAAGACAATACCCTGATCAGCCATGCCGCCACCATCGAAGAGAGCGTCGGCGGCGGTAGATTGGGCAGGGTAACTCCACATCACAACCGGAAGCTTAGCAGCGGTGGAATTTGCCGGACTCCTTATATTGAGGTTTAAGCAGTCCTCATCGATGGTGTAATAATTATCACCACTAGTGGCAGATGGACACACAGGACCCCAGTTGCGAGCATCCAGCGTGCCACTCCACGGGCTGGCGGGCTGTGGTGCCTTCCAACGGTTTTGGCCACCAGTGGTAGCTGCGAAAGGGATACCTTTCCAAACAGTAATATCTTTCCAGTGGGTTAGGTTGCTAGTGTTGGTGCTGTTGAAGGCGGGATAACCCTGCACACCACCATACTTGGTCTGAATCACCGTATCATAGAGCGCAGCAGACGTGACTGGCACCAGAGTGCATGTTACTGCGGTGGAAATGGCAACAGGATGCATGGCTCATTTGTATCTTAAAACATGTAAAAATGAAAGGAAGGGAAACTAATTACAGGAAGTAGGAAAATATATAAAGAGATGGTTCCTGTGAAAGAAAATCCGCCTCTTCATAAGGACATCTGCCGCTATGAAGGCCGCGTAATCACTCTTGCTATGAACAGATTCCCTTTTTTATTCAATCAGAGCACCTCCCTGGTTGCATTAGAAAATTGCAACACGCGTAGGTGACGTTGCGGAAACCGCTGAAGCAACAGATGAGCGAACGGCGGAGGGACTAGCAGGGGGTGTAATATTCTTAGGAGTATAATACTTTATGAATTCCAGGTTAGAAGCTAAACGCCGAGTGCTACAATCACTACCTTAGTTGGGGGTTATGTGAAAAAACTACCAGACGCCGAAGGACTACCAACTGGAGACAAGCAAAAGTGATGGTAGTGGGCTACAAAGAATTCTGTACTACTCCGACAGGTATATGAGCGTATCATTCGTTTACTCAAGATAGGTTTGGCCGTCCAAGCAATTAGAGCAAGGCCCATCCTGCAGTATTGGGCTATTCGAGGCTAGTACCAAGGTAGGGGTTCCTAGGATAAGATACTACGCCATGATCGCTATTGCCATAGTCTTATTACCTACTCCGTACCTTCACAAGAGTTACGGAGTACATTACAATAAATCCGACTTCTCTGGTCTGTAATGTCTATAAACAGCTGTCAACCTGTAGATCATCGGCGTCGGGGATAAGGATAGACTAAATCTTTATCTGCTTCTATAAGCCCGATGATGTGCTGAGCAAGCCTGGCAACGTGGGCAAAGGCGGCTTTCCTCATTCTCGAACACACTACTGCAAGAGGTTCCTGGCGCCGGAGCATTGACCCTGGACACTCGCCAGTAACAGAGGGGTGATCTCGCAGGCTTCTACCCCGGCATATCAGAACACCAGTGGAGCAACGCAGGCATTGGCGCATGTGGGAGGAGAATAGGAATCATTCAGTGTTGCCAATATTGTTACTAGTCCGGAAGTTTATAAGCCATTGCTATGACGTGTCACCATGATGATCAGTGCTCTATTGGAAACCCAGACTAAGCATTGTCAGTCTGGCGGAGATTCAGTAATTAAACGATACTGCTTTGAGATGATAGTCCCTTTTAGCCTAGGCTAAAGCATTATATATACCGATAAATTACGCGTAAGCATAGGATCTTCGCTAATATGGATGTTCACTCTTTGACTGAAAAGCCAGTAGAACGCGGCGTCTACATTATATCTTCAAGAAATTAGCAAAGAAGTGCCCGGGGTTCGTTTGTTTCAGGATCTCTCCTGACAATATAAGACCTTCAAAGCGTTCATCAGTGAGATAAGTCTGTCAGATTAAGGCCCAACCTAGAGGTTAGGTTAGCGGAACAGGAGAACCCAGCCCAACCCACAAAAATAACAACCCTACTTTGCGTTGAGTCCTCTATGTACTAGGATATAGGGCTATCCCAAGCTCTGATAGAGTCTATGACGTCCTAGCGAGGTTGCCAGACCTCTGCTGGATTTAGCTCTAATTGGCAGCTAGCTTCAAGCCCCAATTCCGTCGATCTGCACCTTAGAAGTATCACATAACCACTCGCATTTGCATTAGTTCACCCGCAACCTCTTAGTCCATAAGCCGATATTTAACTAAATCGGATTGATTTTTAACCGTCCACTCTCTTGATTACTCAACAGCCACAACAGGATGAGTTATGTGGAATATATCGAATATTACCTCGTCGCCTGCAGGCCATATTGTCTGCTGATGGTTGGTGTACTTTCGAACCCTAACTGAAGCAATAGTCACTATCGCTAGTCAAAGGATTAAATTCATCTGCTTGCCGTACAATACTATGTAAGTAATCCTCCATATAATCCGTCACTTCTACAAAATAGAACAGGTCACAAAGAGACGATTCCGGTCAAGTTGTGCTATTGAAAGAGCAAGGCCAACAATTAGCTATCAATATATCTATAGACTATTATCTACCCTTTCTATAACCATGTAAACACTGTCAAACGGTTACCAACGATCAGCCAAACCCTCGAAAGACTCCAAACGGGCGCAATATTAACAGCTCAGTCGTTAATGAGGTCTTCATCACTGATTTTCCTCCCGCCCTAGGACTCGGCCTTTTTGGTGGCCTTGGTCCGGAGTTTCATCATGAGGAATACAAGCCCGTAGATACCGACCACGAATACAACGACAATGCCCGCATTCCTCCATCCGTAGTATCGTTCTTGCAAGTTGAGCGTACGGAGGTAATCTCCGCCTTCAGTATACTGGCAAACGCGGCACCCGAGGGTATCGTCCGGGTTCAGAAGGTTCGTGGCTATTCCCACGCCACGCTGGTAGACATTGAGATATTCACCACATGTTAGATTGGGAGCCGGATCAAACACAGCTAGCTCCTCGGGCTTGCAGTGCACGGGCTTGTCCCAGGTAGTGAACACCAGCAGAGAACTCATGAGGTAGTTGAAGGGGTCGAGGTAGTACATCCTAAAGAAAACGGCCGTCAGAATCTGCTCAAGCTAGATCATGGTTCATGCAGGGATTGCCTTACCAGTATCGCCAGAATGGCACGATTTGGCTATATGGAATCATCACGCCGCAGAAGGAGACGAGAGTGGTAATCACCAGAGGGTTGACCAGTGATGCAAACACGGCGTTCGGTGTGTAAGCGGCAATCATCTGCCCTATGCCCGTGTAAAGGCACTCATACATTATCTGGGAAGGGGTTAGTTCTCGCATGCGGAAGACAGGTGGGCGGGCTTACTGCAACGAAAAAGACGCTTCCAGCGTGGTCAGCGGAGGTGGGAAGGCCGCTGGTAAAGTACCAGCAAACGTAATACAGCAGCGCACAGACAAGCAAGTAAGGAAACTCCGAGACTATGAGACCCGTCACGAAGGGAGCCCAGTGGTACATTTTG